ATAACCATCATAATCAATAAAGATATCTTATTGATTTGATGTGTTCAAGCTTGATAGAGGCTTACGTTAACATAATTGGTTATTGACAGATGTGTCTGTATTATTATCTTAAAGATATATAAAAATGAATATGATACATGTGATTATAACAACCTACGTATACGGACTTAATTATTTCCGATTCCTTCTCCTTTCTATCATTCTTAGGCCTTCCAATTTTCTTTAAAAAAACATACATTTTGGATGTCGGCATGGCGACGGCGAAGAGGAAAACAAATCAAAATTCATACTTATGGAATAGAATGAAAACAAATCATCGATAATGAGTTTCGGGATGGTCAAAATAGTACTTAGTGTGTCTAAGAATAGATGCAGTCTTGACTGTCCTCGCATTCTCGAACCATCTTGAAGTTGAACGCTTTTTAAGAAAGGGATTCAACGCGCCCACGAGGTCAATGACCGATGGGGCAGTTTGATTTTTTTGCCTTTCTCCAATTTCTCTCCAATGACGTCATAGCGCTGCCATACCTCATCGTTGTGCTTTTACATAGTTTCTTTACTTTGCCGTCAATACTTCCTGCATATATATTTTATGTTTTGTCCGTTCTTATAAGATGACACTTTTTTCTTCGTTCGTTTCCTTGCTGTTTTTGTTTTGTTTACTGTCTTGTTTGTTTTAATGTTTGTTTCTGTTTATGTGCATGTGTGTGTGTGTGTGAGGTGTGTGTGTGGGGGGGTCATGATCTGACATGATCAAACATTTTATTTTATTTCATTTCTGCATTTTTCCAAATATAATAACAGAATAACAAAGAACATATAAAATAATATAAGGTATAATACAAAATAACAATAATAACTTCATGTCAAAATGTTTTTTTAAACATATTGATTTGCCCGTGTAGACGGTCGGCTTAACTGTTGACACAGAATATGTTGGATATATCTGTATATTTGTATTACTTCATTTTAAACAGAAAACATTTTTGAAAAACGAGGAGTTTGCGAAAGTGATGGAATATCACATGAACTGTTTGAACGAAGAAACCAACATGTTGCGTCACAAGCATGATGGATGAGTGGTCTTGTTTGCCATGATGACTATGTTTGAGTGGAGTAATTTGTAATCAGTCACTACAATTTGTGTGTAATGGATTGGGTTATTTATAGCCAATTAAATCAATAAACTTAAGCATTTAAGATGCATTATGACGATGCCCAAATGTGCCAATGCTTTACACAGGCTAATACAAATTAAAAACATGGAACTGCGAATAGTGCAACTCTTGGTTTTTGGAAGTTGTGTCTTTTTCTTCACATTGATATACGACTTTTTGTTGTTCTCTCTCTATCTCTCTCTTTCTTTCTCTCTCTCTCTCCCTGTCTGTCTATCTCTCTCTTTTCCTCTCTCTGTATTGCTAGTTCATTTTCCACCTTAGAGTTTATTTCGATTTCATGTAAACATGTGAATTAACAGTCATTTACAGCTCACCTTTCTACCTCATTCATGTAATATTTTTTCTCTTCAAGTAACCACCCCTTCCTCTATTTCTCTGTCTGCCTGACTGTCTGTCTCTGCGTGTCTCTCTACTTCCTAGGCTCTCCCTTTCTCTTTCTCTTTTTCTCCTCTCTTCCATTCTTGATCTGTCTGTTTCTCTTCTTTTCTCTAGTCTCTACGAGAATCTTTCCTTTTACTCTCCCTCACTCATCAGAACGATGCACAATTCTTCCACTGTTGAACGATGAGGACGCTATATAAAATTTTCGAAGGCATCTCGTCTGTATGATCGAATCTCCTAGATTTTGATAAATGCAGAATTTGCGCCGAAATGCTATTCAAATCCTTTCAATTCATTTTTATCGACGGACTTTAATTTAATTTCCTCCTTTCTCTTTTTATATCCTCTTTATATCCCTCCGATCTCCAGACCATTCCTTTGTTTTTATTTTTTATTTTTTTTAATTTTTATTTAATTTGTGATTTTGATTATGATTTTGATTTAATTTAATTTCGGTTTAAACGTCCGTATTAGCGAATTAAGTATCTATTTTGTTTTATTGATTTCGTGCGGGAGAGGGAGAACTGAATTCAGATAAGGGTTAAGAGTTGGGCACAGTTCAACGAATCGTCTTCTTTTCATAATAACTTAATGAAACGTCAAAGCTTTCGCTCTTTGCGCGGGAGGGAAACTGAATTCAGACAATAGTGCTTATTAAGAGTCGAAAACGGTACAACGAATCGTCTGCCGCCTCTAATAATTTATGGAAATGTCAAAGCTTCTGCGCTTCGCGCGAGGGGAGAAACATCATTCAGACAAGGTTTAACAATCAAAAACGGTACAACGAATCGTCTTCTTTCTCTAATAATTTAAGGAAATGTCAAAGCTTCCGCGCTTCGCGCTAAAGGGGGAAACTGAATGCAGACATTTAGGGCTTATTAAGAGACGAAAACGGTACAATGAATCGTCTGCTTCCTCTAATAATTCATGGAAACGTCAAAGCTTCAGCGCTTCGCACGAGAGGGAGAAACTGAATTCAGATAAATAGGGCTTATTAAGAGCCGAAAACGGTGCAACGAATCGTCTTCTTTCTCTAATAATTTAATGAAACGTCAAAACTTCCGCGCTTCGCGCGGGAGGGAGAACCTTCATTCAGCCAATGATTAAGCGACGAGCACGGTTCAACGAATCGTCTACTTTCTCTAATAATTTAATGAATTGTCAAAACTTCCGCGCTTCGCGCGGAAGTACTGAAGTTAGACAAGGATAAAGAGTCGAGAACAGTACACTGAATGGTCTGCTTTTTCTCATAATTTAATGAAACGTCAAAGCTTCCGCGCGGGAGGGGGAGAAACTGAATTCAGACAAGGGTTAACAGTCGAGAACGGTACAATAAATCGTCTTCTTTTCCTAATAATTTCAGGGAACGTCTAAGCTTCCGCGCTTCGCGCGGGAGGCCTATCACCCACAACCCCTAATGAGCGCGCAAAAGTGATTCGCTTACTCACCAGCGCTCCTCCCTAAAATAAGATCCTAGCTCCGCGCCTGCATTAAAATATATAGCCATGATGCTGACTAAGTTGACAAAATAATTCGTATATTTATGTCGTCGAGGAAAATGACCATTTGCGTATACGCAAGTACTATAGATAATCCATAGGAAAAACAATTTAGCCTTCGGCCCCGGGTTTATAGCGCTAAATTTGTAGATATTGGGACATTTAATTATGTCGGTAATTGGTGGCTAGTTTTGTCGGTAATCGTTGGCCTCAGAAAAAAGGTCTAGCGACGCCCCTTGAAGAGAGTCAAATGAAGAACCAAAAGCAATATGTTTTTCATTTACTAATGAGAACTATGTTTTTTGAGATCTCCTTACACAGAATATTGTAATGGGTTTTTCACGATGAATGTTGTTTGGAGACATCAAGATTCATAAAATGTATGTTTCTATCACCAGGAAATAAAGAATTTTCTATCTACATGAACCTTTCCTGGTTGCTTATTAATGCATTTGCCCACTGGTAACATAATACTTTTACAAGTTGATATCCCTCACCATTGGATTTGTTTTTGGTAATGCCTAAATTTCGTTTAAAAATAGATGATATCAGTCTGGTAGGCCTACACTGCAGGCAAGAGTCAGGACTAACATTTAGTATGTTATTAATTTTATTACCACTCTTATATACTCTGAAACAGGCGCGTACGCAGGATTTTTTCAAGGGGGGGGGGGGGGGGGGGGTTTAACATTTATAAATCGGTCCGAAAATTTCGCAACGACTCAGCCAGCCGCTGAATAAGCGGGGGGGGGGGGGGGGGGGGGGGGGGGTAAGAGGTCACTTTTTTTTTTTTTTTTTTTTTTTTTTTTTGTCCCAAAAAAATCGCAACGACTCAGCCGACCGCTGAATAAGCGGGGGGAGGGGGGGGGGGGGGGGTAAGAGGACACTTTTTTTAGGTCGGCCGTGGGCATAATTTTTTTTTTTGGGGGGGGGGGGGGGGTGGGTAAGAGGTCACTTTTTTTTTTTTTTTTTTTTTTTTTTTTGTCCCCAAAAAATCGCAACGACTCAGCCGACCGCTGAATAAGCGGGGGGAGGGGGGGGGGGGGGTAAGAGGACACTTTTTTTAGGTCGGCCGTGGGCATATTTTTTTTTTTTTTTTTTTAATACAAAAAAAAAAAAAAAAAAAAAAAAATCTAAAGGGGGGGGGGGGTTTAGGTTTTTTTAGGGGGGTTTACATACGTAAAATTACCAAAGGGGGGGGGTTAACCCCCAAACCCTCCCCCCTGCGTACGCGCCTGCTCTGAAATGTTATCTTTATTGAGGGTGACTTGAAAAAGTGAATAACTTGGAAGGGAGAGGTGCAACCTGCCACACGCTTTACCTCTTGGTTGCTTTAATCCATTGCCGAAAATATTTTGGCACCTATCACCCCCCCCCCCCCCCAAACCACGGATACAAATCGACACCCTTGGTTCCTGCTACAGCTCATTTTATGTATGTTATTACCGAAGAAAAAAATGTCAGTCAGTCACTCAATAGTGTCTCACAGTGAATTCTAGAAGGTAAACGGGTTTCCTCTCATAATTTAAATACTAGGACACTGCTAACGTTTAAATTTCGCAGATATGACCAAAGTGACACTGATATTCATAATTCCTGCAAAGTTCTACAGAATTTGATGTTGGCTGCTAATGGGGCACAGTACCTTTAAGTGGGCTGTACTACTTGTAGCCACTTACGCCCTTTATATAGCAAACAATGTCTAAGCGGTAGCCGTTGGTTGAGAGCTGGTTTGATGAGATAATAATAATCATAATCATATTCCGCTTATATAGCGCTTAATACAATGCTTAATCCTTCCTGCCAAAATAGTGCGGACAGGCTTTAAGGAATACAATTCCTTACTAAAAACTCATTCAAGATACCAAGCGCTGTTGACTTTTTTCCACAAAGGAGTTACCATTGTATTACAACTCAAGAAACACAGCAACAGGGAAATAAATAAATTAAATATCATAGTTTATTGTTTATTGTTATTTTGGGTTACATCATTGATTAGTAAATGCGTAAATACACTAAACCGTGGTCAAACTTTGACGAGATGACAAATGAACATTAATTTAATTGATTTTGAAAGACCCCTGTTTCAAATAGTAATGGTCAATTTATATGACTACAACTTCATAACTCACAACTTCTATCCTAAATTGGGATGTCGAGGTTTGCATATATACTGTTTAGACAGTCTAGAAAACTCCTTTATATTCAAGGCATAAATAAAAGTCACAATCAAATTAGTATAGTATACCACATCAGACACGTAGCACTTACAGCAATTTAATCATACATTTTTAATCGTTATTAAAAACTGGGTGTAAAAACTCGCTTCCCTATTCTTCATAAACGTCCCTCCTATAATGCAAAAACAGAAGTCAATAAACTTGTAACTGATTTCATAAATGCCGCTAAAGTTATACAATTTCTTTGGCACAACAAAACCACATTTATAATTTTTTCAAAAATGCAGTTTAAAAAATGTTACCGCTGAAGGATGTACGATTTCATCAATAAACCATATCAAATCAAATCAAATCAAATCAAATCAAATCAAATCAAATATCATACACCTTGGCGTAAGCAATGAGTGAGAGGGGAAAACGCAAAATTGTGAAACAATGCAAAAGATGAAATATAATAAATAATACTTAATAACATTCAAGTAGCTCTGTAATGTTTAAATACTACAGTTATTTCAGTCAGTCACTATTAAAGTATGTTTTAATGCCTTAGAACCATAACAAATTGTTATTTCTAGTGCCAAACGAGAAAAATAGTGACCCTATCATTCCTCCCACCCCCAATGAATGAATGAACTGTAAATAATTTATTTAAAACAAGCTACAACAAATTATTTCAAATTCGTGATGTAGTGATGTCGGTGGCCCTCTCGGTCATGATCTGATGTGATTGTTAGTTGGTCGACGCTTGCTCGTCATCACAGCGAGAACAATGAAGGCGATGGCTATGACCAGCATACCGCCAGCTAAGGCAAAGATGGTGATCTTAGTTGCTTGATTCAATTCTACAGAAGAAAAAACAGAGGGGAGGAAAAACCACACTCATTATTTATGTCGTAAGATCGAATGGTACTATTATTGTACTATATTGTCAGATTAAAAATAACATAATATAGCCTTCAAAATGAGAAAAATGAAACAAAAACAAAAGAAATCAAATTAATGTTTTAATACTAAATAACTGAATGATAATATTGTGATTTGCAGGAGATTCGGTCTCTATGACAATATTGCCAGTTGATTACTAGTCTGAAAGCACATACTCTAATTTGACACTTTACCACTATTCCTTAAGCAGAGCCTAGACCAGTCATTTCTGGCTGTCTTGTCAGGAGCCATTAGAGGCTTTCATAATTGTGGGCAATTACGTTGCAGAACCTCATACATGCAGAACCTCAAACAGAGAGAAAGAACATTTCCAGCATGTTCAGATGCGACATGAATGTTTGAACGCCATCAATGGCAACACATTACTGTTGCAAAATGTCATCAAACTTACTGGATATTTGTGTCTGAGCAGCATCGGCTACGTGGAGGTCAGTACCGCGACGGAGTCTGGTCTTTACCGGTCCATGTGAGAGTGACGCGGTCAAAGATACCGAGGTTAGGCTGACATCACGGCGGACTCGACCTCCTCTCGACAGACAACCGAGTGAGCAGCGGGAGTCGGTGTCCAAAGCGTGACAGAGATGTGCTTTACACTGCATGAAGACCTAGTGAATCAAAGAAATAATTTATAAAGTAAGTCAACCGTGAGAACCCTTGCTGTCATTGTCGATGTGTCATCATAATTTTTGTAGAAAATTACAATGGCTTCAAACTATACTTTGTGCAGTTTTCAAAACTGCGGTTTAACATTTATAACCGACTGACGATGTTCAATGTATGACGTGTACTTCTGATTTTGAACAGATGTACATGGAGAATTGTCAAAGTTATTGTGTACCATTCAATTCCTTGGCTATTACTATGAGGAAAAATAGAATAAAATAAAACCATTCCTTATCGTCAACGAAGAAATTCAGTACAAAATCATTCCTATTTAATGTAGGAAGATCCCATCCAGATCATTTTGTCGTTGCAAGACTTGAAGAAAATATTTAAAAAAACTTATACATCAGCATACAGTTTTCTAAAATCAAGGAGTGAATTCAATATAATTATAGATATCCTATTTACCTGTGGTAGATTGTTCAAGAAACCACCAGCTTTGACAGAAAACTTCCTTTCTTTAAGATCAGAAGAGCGCACAAACTGCACGGAATCGTCCACCGGGCATCTGTGTAAACATACCAACACAAATGTAAAATCAATACGTGAACCATGATACAGAAATAAGGTGTACACAAACAGAAATGTGAACATTCTTTGAGTTATGTGTCATCAATTTTTTTTTTTTTTTTTTTTTGCTTTTGAAAGAAACTTTCATTTAACATATTGACCATGTAAGTGGATATTTGAATAGATTTAAACTTAAACGAAAGTTCATGATCTTAAAAAATGACATATTTGCATGGTCACATTACATTACAACTTATAAGAATTATTTGAGAGGTGTCATTTAGCAATCAAAGATTGATGTTGCTGTTGTCACAATTACACAAAGCAGTTATATATAGTTATTTAAATATTGTATTGTGGTGCCATAAATGATTAAACAAATTTAGTAGAAGTATCAAATGAGTAAAAATGGGAACCTAATTCAGATGAACGTACCCATCAGATATAAGAACGTGTCTCATCACTGCAGTTGTCTTTGCGGATGGCGACATCCAACAAGACTCGAGGAAGAGACTAAACCCGTCTACAGTCACCAAGCTCACATCAAAGAACAGCTCCTCTCCCACCTCGACTTCCAGCTCGGCACCTTCCCGCTCTTGATGGGCACCTTGAAGTCCTGGTCGCGATATTGCTTGATCTCCAGCGAGAAGTTACCCAGTCCTGTTAGTTCTTTGGTGTTGTCTCCTGCGATGAGACTGTCCACCTGTGCCTTGGTGAGTTGGTCTCGGGTCAGCACGCATTGCACAGGAATGGACCGTCGGTTGTCGTGGAAGATGGTCTCGTGATCGTGGTCGCTGCTCGGGAAATAGACGACGTTGTGGAATTTCAAAGCCATCACGGTAGTCTGTATATAAAATCAAGATCAAAGGAATTGACAAAATTGATATTTTTTAAAATAATATATCGATTATCATTACATTAAATTCGTTCTCAGCAGCATTTACAGTACAAGCAAATTTCGCCGTGAAGGGGATTGGGGTGGAATGGCTGTTGTCTTTAGAACGAATATCAAATTTCCAGTTTCCATTACATCACAAAGTTATATTAGTTTATCCTTTCCCTCTTCATCAATGCATTAATAATATTCACGGATTTAATGATTATGAGGTTGAGACTGTGATTTCATGTTTGTCCTACATAATACATCTGTTATGTTTCAGTCATTGCAACAGGCTCATTTCATCTCAGCTGCAGTGAGAAGATCTCGCAGCCAAAAAAATAGATGGCGATTGCCCGAATTATGATTAATTTTTAAATCGTCGTTACATCGCCCCCATATAAAAAAATGCACGATGAGGTTTATTGTAACTTCATCAGGTATACTTCTGATAGGCACTCACCTCAACTTGGGTGCCGCACTGATCGTAGAATGTTGACAGGCGAGCCATGTTGTCTCCGAGTGGGTTTGCACGACATGCTGGGTCCGTGAAGCTGATTGACTGGGGTGAGTCGACTCCAGGAACGGTGGTTGGTATGAAGACGGTCATAGAACTACCGGTACACCTGACGGTTAGAGCTGTTTAAAAGAAAGATCATTGTCTCTCTTGATAATTGACGTGTACATTTTAAAACAGCTTTGTCTTTTACTCATCGGGTGCCAAGAGATATAAGCTAAATGTCATACTGTTTTTTCCTGTCAAGATTTATGATCATTTTATCATACAAGATTCATACTTGAGATATTGTATCTATACTTGACAATTAAAATAAAGAAAAAAGGTAAAATCATCCGCATGTACATGTAAGACGCCAACAAATCGATTAAAGATACAAATAAACACAAAAAGCCACGCATCTCTTTAAAAAAAAATCGCCTGAACATACCAACTTCACAGAGAGGTCCAAAGAAGCCAACAAGACACCTGCATCGCATGTCATCAGGTGCAGAAGGGACGCATTCACCACCGTTCTTGCAGGGGTCTGGATGGCATGGATCTAATGACACTTCACAGTTCACGCCTCCCAAACCCGGAGGGCACACGCATCTAAATAGAGATATTCGAAGTGAATTCTAACGAAAAATACAAGATTTGATTTCTAGAAGTGAACAATTGCTGTATCTTCTATTTGATGATATGACCTGTTATCAAAATAATCTGTGTTTCTGTTGAAAGCTACACATTTTTATCTTATATTACTTAACGAAGAATACGTTTTTCTTTATTAAGTAACACAATTTGGTTGTCTTATGCCGATTTTGAGCGGTACAGCAATTACTCCTGAAGTTTGAACGAAATATTATAAAGATTATGAAGTCTTATCATATTATTTCTCCTGATCAAATCGTAATGCATTTGTTTTCTGACAGCATCATGTTTCGATAAAATGTTTCGAATGATTTTACAGACGAAGATAGCTTTTGTTCTTAATCATTACATTATTAAAGTTGGTACTAAAAAAATTCCTTACGTGTATCGACCGGCTTCATAGTTGACACAGGTTCCAGCCCGGCAAGGTGAAGACACACATGGATCTACAGGGATATCACAATGTTCTCCAACAAATCCTTGGTGACAGATACATTCGAAGGAACCAGGGATGTTTCGGCAGACCTTGTTTCCTGGGCACACGGGGACACTCTGCATGCATTCATTTACGTCTAGGTCACATCTATCTCCTTGATAACCCATTGGACATACACAAACGAAACCATGCTCCGTCGGCTGGCAAGTGGCACCATGGTGACAAGGGTGGCTCTGGCAGGCATCTTGGTTAACCTCGCAATGACGTCCTGTAAATCCTGGCTTACATTCACAACGGTAGTCATCGATTCCGTCAAAGCAAGTTGCTCCATTGAGACATGGATAACTAGAACACTCATCTATGTTGACCTCGCAATATCTTCCACCAAAACCAGGTTGGCATCTGCAGGTGTAATCGTTGATACCATCAACGCAAAGTGCCCCATTCCTACACATGTTTTTGATGCATTCATCTCTGTTGATTTCACAGTCCCTCCCTTCAAAACCAGGAGTACAATAACAAGTGTACCCATCAACTCCATCTACACAAGTGGCTCCATTTTTACATGAGTCTATACTACAATCGTTGATATTGAATGCACAATCTGTTCCGTAAAACCCAGGGGCACAACGACATTCATATCGTCCAGGCATATCTGTGCAACTTGCGCCATTTTGACAAGGGTTGCTTTCGCATTCATCAACGTCAACCTCACAATCCCTCCCAATGAAGCCGGGATGACAGTGACAAACGTAACCATTTACCTGGTCCTGACAAAAACCGCCATTTTGACAAGGATGTGAACCACACTCATCTCGGTTGATTTCACAATCGCGTCCTTCAAAGCCAGGTGAACAATGGCAGTCATAACCATCGATTCTATCCTGGCATGTTGAACCATGACGACAAGGCATGCTCATGCATTCGTCAACATTGATCTCACAGTTATGTCCCACAAACCCTGGTCTGCAGTGACACATATACTGGTCGATAGAGTCTAAACAGGTACCACCATTCAAACAAGGACTGATATTACATTCGTTGATGTCTATTTCGCAGTTGCGCCCTTCAAATCCATTGCTGCAAACGCAGTCATAATCAGCCACCAAATCCCTGCAAGTGGCTCCATTCATACAAGGTCGGCTATGGCATTCATCTGTGTTAATTTCACAGTAAATCCCCATAAAACCAGGCGCACACTGACAAGTGTAACCGCCGACTTCATCTATACATACGGCTCCATTCAGACATGGGTGACTTTCGCATTCGTTCATTTCCAGTTCACAGAACAATCCATAGAAGCCTTGAGCACAGTGACAGGAGAAACCACCAGCCATGTCACGACAGGTTGCTCCGTTCATACATGGCATGCTTTGGCATTCATCTACATTGACTTCACAGTTTTTCCCTGTAAATCCATATGAGCAATTACACATATAGTCATTTATTGCATCATGACAGATGCCACTATTTTGGCATGGATGGCTCGTACATTCATCAAAGTTTACCTCGCACATCCTACCAACAAACCCTGGTGGACATAGGCACCTAAAGTTGGCTGCTTCATCGACACAAGTACCGCCATTTGTACACGGATAACTTGCACATTCGTCAATATTGACTTCACAGTTCAGTCCGACAAACCCAATGGGGCAGACGCACTCATACCTGCCCACACGATCCACACACGTAGCTCCATGAAGACAGGGATTACTGGAACACTCGTTCTCCTCGACTTCACAGTTCATCCCCATATAACCGGGTCTGCAGTTACACCTGTATCCACCAGGACCATCCATGCAAGTTCCATTGTTCAAACATGGATGACTTGCACATTCATTGATGTCCTGCTCACAGTGAAGTCCTATGAAACCATTCGGACAGACACATATATAAGCATTGAAACGATCAACACAGGTAGCACCATTCAGGCATGGCATGCTCATGCATTCATCACGCTCATTTTCACATGTTTTACCGACATAACCTGGTGGGCAATGACACATAAAATCATTAATCTTGTCCTCACATCTTGCGCCATTTTGACATGGATGACTTGCACATTCATCCGTTTCGAATTCACACAACATTCCGTAGAACCCAGGTGAACAGTGGCACATGTATCTATTGACCTGATCTTGACAAGTTGCCCCGTTTCGACAAGGGTCACTCGCACATTCATTGATGTTTTCCCCACAGTTCTTGCCTCTGAAACCAGGAGTACAATCACAATGATAATCTGCTAGCTGATCCAAACAAACACCACCATTGAGGCACGGTCTACTTTGGCATTCATTTATGTTGTTAAGACATTTTTACCATCAAAACCGAGAGGACAGATACATATGAAATCAGCAATCTGATCAACGCAGGTTGCTCCGTTAGCGCAAGGATTACTACTGCATTCATTTGCATTAATTTCGCAGTCCCTTCCTTCAAAACCTGGACTGCAAAAGCAGCGATAACCATCAACACGGTCTTCACATGTAGCTCCGTTAACACACGGCATGCTCATGCATTCGTTCTTTTCAATTTCACAGTTCATTCCAAAGAAACCAGATGTGCAGTTACACCGATAACCGTCGATGCCATCCATGCACCTACCCCCATTTTGGCATGGATGGCTTGCGCACTCGTTTCGGTTTGTCTCACAGTTCTCACCAAAGAAACCTGGAACACAAGTGCACTCGTAGTAAGCCAGTCGGTCTGTGCAGGTGGCGCCATTCAAACAAGGTTGGCTTTCACATTCATTGATTTCTCGCTCACAGTCAAGACCGATATATCCCGGTACGCAGAGGCAATGATAACCATCAACTTGGTCAACACAGTGTGCACCATTCTGGCAATGATCACTGGCGCAATCATCATGATCAAACTCGCAGTCACGTCCATAGTAACCAGCAGGACAGTCACAACTGTAACTATTCTCAAGATCCCTGCATGTTGCATCGTTTTGACATGGCATACTAATACATTCGTTCCATTCAAACTGGCATTCTCTGCCGAAGAACCCAGGTCGACAGATGCAGTTATACTCTTCAATCCGGTCCTCGCACATGCCCCCATTTTGACATGGTTGACTTGCACAGTCGTCTATATTAACTTCACAATCTCTGCCTGTGAAACCGGGCATACACTCACATTCATAACCGTTAAATTTGTCCTGACACATTCCTCCATGTTGGCAAGGATGTGATGCACATTCATTCCTTTCGAATTCACAGTTTGGACCATCGAAACCTGATACACACTGACATGTATAACCACCTGCTACATCAACGCAAGTAGCATTATTCTGACATGGTTGGCTGGAGCACTCGTCGACATCTGTCTCACAATTCACCCCGAAAAATCCCATGGGGCAGACACATTCGTATCCATTGACCTTATCAATGCAAGTTCCTCTATTCAAGCATGGCTCGCTCCTGCATTCGTTAATCTCTTGTTCACAATTACGACCCTGGAATCCAGGAAAACATTCACAAAAGTAATCATTGATAAGGTCCGTGCAAATGCCTTCGTGTCCACAAGGAGCACTTGCACATTCATCTCGTTCAGTTTCGCACAAGGCACCCATGAAACCAATTGGACAAACGCAGTGGTATCCATTGGCTTGGTCAACGCACGTTGCACCATTCTGACAAGGTGAACTGTTGCATTCATCTATGTTTACCTCACAGCTTCTACCGATAAAACCAGGCATACATTCGCATGTGTAGTCATTAAGCAAGTCTGTGCACACACCTCCATTTTGGCATGGCACACTGCTGCATTCATCTATCTCCCGACCACACTCAGGCCCTGTATACCCAGGCGCACATTGGCATCGGTATTCATTAACACGATCAACACAAGTCGCACCATTTCTGCACGGGACACTATTGCATTCGTTAATGTCCACTTGGCACCTTCGTCCTTCAAAACCACCTTGACACATGCAAGAAAACTCAGCAACTCCGTCGATACAAATTCCGCCATTTTCACACGGAGAGCTCTGGCATTCATCTATATTTATTCTGCAGTTTGGTCCTTCAAAACCAGCCGAACAATTACATGTATAACCGTTGTCCATGTCTATACATCGGCCACCATTCTCACACGGATGGCTGGCACATTCGTCAAAATTTACCTCACAAATGGGACCCTGGAAACCGGGAAGACACTGACATGAATAGCTGTCCAGCATATCTTTACAGAGAGCTCCATTCTGGCATGGGTTACTGAGACACTCATTGGTCTCGTTCTCACATCTCATCCCTTCATACCCAGGAGCACATACACATGTAAACATGCCAACCTCGTCAATACAGGTGGCCCCATTGTCACACATATTCATCATGCATTCATTGATTTCAAACTCGCAATCTCTACCGACAAAACCTGGTGCGCATGCGCAACGATACTCGTCAAATCCATCGATGCAACTTGCACCATTTTGGCACGGATTACTTGTACACTCGTTTTTCTCATGCACACAGTTAGGTCCATCGTATGGTGATAAACAACAACAAGTATAGCCATTGAACTGGTCTACACATTCTCCTCCGTTCTGACACGGATTGCTATCACATTCGTTAATTTCAAGCTCACAATCTTTCCCTTCGTATCCGGATGGACAGAGACACATATAATCTCCAAGTAAATCTGTACATTGTCCCCCATTGCGGCATGGATCACTATCGCATTCGTTTGTCTCCATTTCGCAGTTGATACCCTCGTATCCAGGACTGCACTGGCATCTGTATGCATCGATGACGTCATCACATGTAGCTCCATTGCGGCAGGGGTCACTAGCGCATTCATTGGTTTCATTCTCACACCTATTACCATAGAAACCTGAAACGCAAAGGCATGAAAAGCCACCAGCTTCATCAACACAGGTAGCTCCGTTCTCACACATGTTCACGATACACTCGTTGATCTCAAACTGACATTGTCGACCAATAAATCCACGCGGGCAATCACAAGTGTAACCGTCCAGTCTGTCTCTGCAGGATCCTCCATTCAGACAAGGTCCACTCACACATTCGTCTGTTTCAATCTCACAGTTGTCTCCTTCATAACCAGGTTGACAGCAGCAGGTATATCCTCCAACTGATCGACACAGTCGGCACCGTTCTCACAAGGAGAGCTCAAGCATTCATCTATTTCCAACTCGCAATCGCCTCCTTCGTAGCCTTCAGTGCAGTTGCAGAAGTAACCGTTGACTCGATCGATGCAAGGGGAGCCATACTGACACGGATCACTCGCACATTCATTTATGTTAACCTCACAGTACTGGCCTTCGAAACCTGGGACACAGTCACACGTGTAATCGAGGAGTCCATCGACACAAAGGGCATCATTTGCACACAGGTTAATAACACAGAAGTCGATATCAACTTCACAGTTATCTCCTTCAAATCCCATCGGACATGAGCAATCGTATCCATCCAAATAGTCAGTGCAGTTCGCCCCATTTTGACATGGGTTACTGTCACATTCGTTGATTTCAAATTCGCAGTTGTCACCACCATAACCAGAAACACAGCTACAGGTATAGCCGTCAACCCTATCAGCACATGTGGCATTCTGCACGCATGGGTTACTAGAGCATTCATCGATATCAACCTCACAGTCAACTCCTTCGAAACCAGATGCACAAGAACAGAAATATCCGTCAAGTTCGTCCTGACATGTAGCACCATTCTGACAGGGCATACTCTTGCACTCGTCGGTTTCAGTCTCGCAGAGAGTGCCTTATAGCCTAAGACACATGTGCACATAAACTCAGCGACCAGATCTACACATGTTGCTCCATTTTGACATTCTATAGTGGCACACTCATTGATATCTATTTCGCAGGTGTCGCCCTCATATCCAGAATTACAGTCACAATTGTATTCATCTACCATATCTATGCATTGTGAGTTGACAGAGCACGGGTTACTTGCACATTCGTCAATTTCGTTTTGGCAGAGATTGCCATCAAAACCTGGAAGACAACTGCAGTTATACCCGGCAACCTGGTCATTACATGTAGCATTGTTCTGACACGGCATGCTTGCACATTCATGTATGTCAACCTCGCAGAAAAGTCCGTCAAAACCCTCGAGGCAGTCACATTCATACCCGGCAACCCTGTCCACGCACACAGCTCCGTTCTCGCAAGTATTGTTTGAACACTCATCAATGTCGATTTCGCAGAATATGCCGTCGTATCCCGAAATGCATTCGCAATAGTAGCCAGCAATGACATCCACACAGGTAGCTCCATTCTTACATTCATTTGCAATACATTCATCGATGTTTTCCTCACAGAGATCTCCTTCAAAACCAGTAGCGCAGATGCATGTGAATTCATCAACGCTATCCTCACAAGCGGCACCGTTCAAGCATGGCATTGAGGCGCATTCATCTATGTTTGCATCGCAGTTGACGCCATCAAACCCACCAGGACACACACAAAGGTAGCTGTTCACAAGGTCTTGGCATGTTGCACCATTAGTGCAGGGGTTACTGTCACATTCTAGAATCTCACTCCCGCAGTTGACTCCTTCATATCCTCCTGCGCATGTGCACGTGTAACCACCAATGACATCAGTACAGGTACCCCCATTTATGCATGGCGTGCTTGCGCACTCGTCTGTCTCAGCTTCACAGTCAACACCAAAGTATCCAGCGACGCAGTTGCACTGATATGCGTTGATCAGATCAATACATGTGGCTCCATTCTGACAAGAACTGCTATCACATTCATTGATTTCTGTCTCACAATTCGTTCCTTCATAACCACCAAGGCAATCACACTGGTAAGAATCAAACAGATCCTGACAGGTAGCACCATTCAGACAAGGGTCACTGGCACATTCATTGATTTCGTCGCTGCACGTGTCCCCCTCCCACCCACTCTCACAGTCACACCTAAATTCATCGATTAGGTCAACACACGTAGCCCCGTTCACACATGGAGAGCTCTCGCACTCGTTGATCTCTATTTCGCAGTTGGTGCCGATGAAACCAGATAAGCAGGTACAATTGTATCCACTGATGGCCAACTCCGTACAAGAGCCGCCATTTTGACAAGGAGAGCTGAGGCATTCGGACGCAACTTCACAGAAATCCCCGCTGAAGAAGGCAAGGCATGAGCAGCTGTAACCAAGGTATTCGTCCTCGCATGTACCGCCGTTTAAGCAGACTACGTTGTTTGTGATGCATTCGTTGATTTCAGCTGTACAGTCTGAGGCTGAATCTTCATATCCTTCGAGACACTCTTTGGAGCCGTCGGAATCGCACGTGTAATGGCCGCTGTCATCATCCGTGTCCTTACAATAGGTTCCACAAGAGATACTGTAGTAGAACTCGTCGCAGTAGAATGCATAATCAGCTTCCAAACTGAAACAAAAATATGGATTAGAAAGGATGAAAAACAGCAAGCGATTTCATTGTGCAAATACAAAAACGCGAAGTTATAAAAAAGCAATATAAAGGTAATACCTAATAAGAGAGAAAAAAGGGAGGTAACTTTACATGCACTGAAAATAAATTTATTATATGACACTTTCCTCATCTCAAATCAAATGAATTAAAACAACGTAACGTCTGGTGTAATGTGTTTCATTAAAAAGGAGATCGAGTAACAAGAGAATATCAGTTCTTTAAGGAATGCACTATAAGAAATGGTCCACCGTGGAAGAAGTATTTTGATTATAATCCTATGATATACACTGTAGAAAAGAAAGTGTTACCCACTATTTCTGTATTGATTAACGTTTTTCATCTGTTTTTACCTTTTGTAATTATTGTACAGTGAGTTTAATGATTATTGTTATCGTGATGCATGTACGAATTACTTATAAATAAAACATTTAAAAGATTAAAAAATATATATACATGTATATCAATTCCTTCATTCTATGTCATCAATCTCGTCTCGTTCGCTGCAAACCTGCCACCTTTTATGCTATGTGGCGTAAAATACCTATTGCGTATACCTATCACATATTGCGTGTCGATGAGATAATTCAATCAGCGCATTAAATATTAATGCAATAGGAGGTTCATTTCAAGAATTGTATAAACACTGCAAGATGGTATTAATTGGACCTATACAACATTTATATCTCTTTCATGGTAGCCTGGGTTTGTGATAGAAATATATATATATATATATATATATATATATATATATATATCACATAAATATCACACATTTCAAATATTCTAAAGAAACTTCTCTGAACGAACCTCGTTTTCGAGAGTGTTCGAGATCCAACGAACAATAGTGTTTCCACGCTGGCGACATCAACAGATGTTTCTGGTGTACCAGAGATGATCGTGGTGTAGCTGTCTACCAACGTCGTACCGTCATCGTCGACATCCACGACCGTAATACGAAGTTCCACAGTACCCTTCAGTGTGAGAAAGCAGCGTGGAAGACATAAGTAGAGAATGTGTTTGGTTTCTCGATCTAATAATTATTCCAAAAGTTTACATTACAACACGATTGCAAAGACGTTCGATAAATCAATTCAAAGGCAGTTTTAATTCCCTATTGTAAATCCCTTAGAACACATACTGTGTCATTGTAATTAAGGCACATTTGAGTAGGTGATGAACAGGGCTATTGAAATTACGTTAGGTTGATTTATTTAGGTTCTTTTATCGTGTTTTATGCTAAGTAAAATAAAGAAGGAAATATAGAAACATATTATTAACCACACAAGAGTTTAAAAGCTTTTAAGAGGTTTTCCTGTAAGTTCAGAATGTGTATTGACCTAGGGCAATTAAAGAAAAAATGATGGAGCCAATAACGTGGGTCCTCTTTTTTTTACATATGTATCTAACACCTTTTAGGTAAGAAATATAGTCTCAGCCTCTTTACTTAAATGTGATCTCATCTATACACCGATACGGGCGAATTTTCATGGATGTGAGCCCTCTACGTTTATCATTACACGCTGGGGGGCTTCTATCAGCTTGCGCTTTCATCTTGCATGCAACGATCATTGCTTTCTCACAGACAAACCACTTATTATTCCTTGCCGCTTTCGGACATTTCAACTTCATTTTGTCTAAATTTATTTCATTTACGATGGATGAATGGGTAGATGATGTCCGTCATGGCGAGTTTTGCGTGCGTTTTCGGCAATCGAAGTTTGGGAGACGCCGTTGTAACGGTGTCCCACATATTCATTATCGTGTATGTTAACATGCAGATGATTTTATTGAATTGAAGAGAGTGAGAGACGGAATGATTTAGAGTTAGAATATAAATAATTCAAGGAATTTTAGCTAGCTGGAGCAGAGTTGTGAGTTCGATCTTACGGTACGGAGGCACTCTCACCACACCGCCAGTAGATGCGGGCCTAAGTACGAACGAGCTCTCGCTCATTCAACTTTCCCATTCAGGTGCTATCCAGAAGCCCCCAGCTGCCCCCAACTGTAGCGCCACTTACGGCGGCTTGCGTGGAAGGTCGCCCAAAGTGTATTTGTGTATAGTGCTGTTTAAACTATCGTGACTGTTCACAAATACGATTAATGTGTTATGGTTGCTCGAATTATCTATTCTTGGATAACGAACCGTAGAAGTAAAATCAAAGTCATTCTTAACAGATACTGTAATAAATTTTATCTATAATTGGATCATCCTCATCACCTGCAATTAGGGCAAAAACATTTTGATAACCGGAAAGATTGTCCTATATGTTTGGAATGGTAAGTGAATCATATTTCTAAACTTGATGACTTAATGCAGAACACCTGAAATATAAGTATTAAAAAGTCTACAAATGTTAATCAGTATTAGCATAGCGTTTGTTCATAATTATGATGAAGATTATTTAAAATTGTGCCCCATTTGGACTTGAACTTACCGGCCATGTGTTGAAGGTGAAAGGATGGGATTAGTCGTGTTGCCGACTAGGGAGCTGAAATTTATAGCCGACATGTCTTCTCCTACCAGTCCCGTATAAACATCCATATAGTCACATGGTCCAGAGCTGTGTCATATCGGGAAAAAGAAGGATTTATTGGGCGATTGATATATTATGTAGTTACCCCCAAAACAAAACAAAGAACAAAAAAATTCAGGCGCCCCCTCCAAAACAAAAGAATACGAAAAAGTAAAATTGCTACTCTTGTCTCCTTGTAGGTCCTGTCTCACATATTTTTTAAATTTATAATACATTATTAGTTCGTTTGTTTATTTTTATACAAAGTTACAATGTAAGTGGTAAATCATAAGTACATGAATATATATAGATATGGCGGATAGCCCATTTTAGTGACGTTAACAAAATACCACTGTTCTTCAATGGGGTCACTTGAACACAATAAATAAACACATGTGTAGCCATAATAATCACACGAAAATAATCGAAATCATAATCAAGTAAGGAGAGGGACACATTTTCTGTATCAACATATCCATACTGAGATCATATCCCTCCTGAACAGGACAATTTAAGGGGACGACAGTGGTCTAGGAACATGTGTTGCATTATAATAATAATAATAATAACAGTGAACATTTATACCTTATATCTTTTATAATCTTCATTGCAAAACTAAAATTGGAAATATAGATGAAATGCTAGAGTCAACACAAATGAGAGGCTATAATCAAGTTTAACTGAATATAAAAGTATTGCACTTTAGACCATCTTTAAACATAATCTTTTATTATAGATTCATATTGGACGTCGGATTTCTTGCCGAAACTTCGTGTGTGTACTCGCAATTCATCGTTTGTGCAAATTCCTGAAATCATAATAAATTTTGAATCAACGATTCAAACGTGCACTGCCGATCTTTTTCTTTCAAGGTTTAAAGTCTAGGCGTCTTTAGCGGAATTTTGTAAGAAGCACTAAGGAGATATAACAAAATATTGTATCGGAAAGTGACATTATTGATTGAACAATGTATGCTTTGAAGATACAAAGGCAGCGTCACTGGGGCTAAGATCACGGTCTGGTAATTTTAAAGCAAATATTTGCCTGCGTCTTCTACGGGAAAATTTACGGAAAGTCTCAGCTTGGTGACGCAAACTTGGATACATATTAAATGAAACATGGCCAAAAATTGCATATTCCTCCAGAATTTGTGAGCGCTTCATGGTGTTTGAAATGCAGGACAAACATTTTAAGATTACCACGTCACAGTTCTGACAAACAAAGCGTATATAAGGTTCCGTGTTGATTCGCTCTCAAACTCCATGAACAAAAAAAGATGAATAGATTTTAAAATTGTGACTTCTTCTGCTTTCGAGTTCACCATGTGTGATCGTGAAATGTTCGGCTAGGCTCTCGCATAATGAACAGCCTTCTTATTTGGAGATGTTGAGGTCTCGTGGATAAGTCACCGGACTGCAGATTGCAAGGTTCGGGATTTGAATCATATCACAGAAAGTCCTTTGGATGACGTTGATCTTGAGCTGCCTCATTCGACCGAGGTGAGTTTAAATAAATGAGTTTCTGATAGGATTTTTCCTTGAAATGCACTGTACGCTGCTAACTGTTGCCATAATTATATAGGGCCATGGTAATATATCCAAAGCTCTTCCAAAGCGCATTGCGGTGTTATTATCATGATTATGCGCTATCCAAAAACTGAATACTATTATTATGATTTTCATTTGCTACTAGATCATCGATGATGCATCGATCTTTTGGACATCTTGAACTAGCCAGTTTTTAATGAATTGAATTTATGTACATCAATAAAACATTCGGAGATGAATATTCGAAGATGAAATACGTTTATAAATTATGAACATCTGCTCCGAAAAGCCTGTGAGCTTATCAAACTTGCATTACTCTCTCTCTCTCTCTCTAATCTCTGTATTATTTTTTATTTCAGACGTTGGAACAATATCAACCAGAGACTCATTTTATCGCAATAACGAGTCGTGATAGTTATTGAGGCTTCTAGCTGAAATAGTGTTCATCTACGATTAACAATTAAGTAGCAATTGTGATGCAGAGATAGGCGCTTACGAAATCACAGCCAGGATAGTTGCCATTACAGGACAACTTATTCAATTTTATTAAAGTTTCAACGATTTCTTTCATTTGATAAGCACTAAAAGCTGAACCATGGACGCGTTACTTGTTGTTAATATCATCTGGATTTTGATGATCTGTATGGCAGGTCTTCCGAGTAATTTCTTCATTTGTTGGTGTTCGGCAAACGCCGAAGGAAGATATCCGTAGACATTTGGGTGATGACACTTGCCGTATCCAATATCGGTTCTTGTTTGATGTACCTGGTCCAAATCGGTTGGCTACTCGTTCCTGGTTCACGGAGTAATCATTTTTGTTCTGCACTTTGGTTTACCGGTCGTTCATCTGTCTTTGTGGAGACCATCATTACTGCATTGATTGCCATTGATCGTTACTACGCAATTTGCCATCCGTTCAAGTGGAATAAATCTAAGAAGCGAGCCATATATGCATCTGTTATTATCATGATCATAAGCTATGTTACAAATATCCACTATGCTCTATACACTAAGGCAGTTGCTAAGAATATTTCGATAAGGTTATGTATGTACGACGGAATAGCGTGGTTGAGGATACTAGGCAATGTGGTGATGATATTTTTGTTCTTCTGTGGGGCCACTAGCTTGTGGTGCTACTTCAGGATTTGGGTGACCATGAGGCAACACCGTCGCGTGATGGCTGCTCATCGTACCTCGTCTGCAGGTTTGCCACAGTGGCAGACTCCAGAAGAACCGATCAACACCGTTTCATCGAGGGTCGAATCCTTGGCTGGGGTCAGTACAACAGGTAATCTTCAAGATGGCAAATCTGGACCAAATGAAACACCCTGTCCATATGCTACAAGGCAACGACAAGACCATTCATTGCCAGAAATCTGTGAAGAAGCCCAGAGCAGTAGAACGCAGCAACTCCAAGGTGCCTATCCAAACTAGTGTTGAACAAAACCTGCACGCAGTCTAAGATCCACCAGCAACCACCGAAAACCTAGATTCTGGTACCGAAACAAGTGCTAACGCAGAATCGGACCGGCCTGTACATGACACAAGAGGGCAGAATCAACCAAAAAAACATGACGTTCATGACAAAGATGTTGCTCTTGGCAACCATCATCTACATCGTCACCTTGTTACCATCAGCCTTCCTTGAAAACCTTCCTCCAACAAGATTCATATCTATACAACAGTCAACGGTTGGAGAATGGGGAGTATTTTTCAGCTACCACTTGCGTGGCGTCAACTTCGCGAGCAATTTCTTCGTTTATATTGCGGTAAACAAGGACTTTCGACAGTCTTGTTGGAAACTTATCAAAAAGAATGGGATTCATCCAACTAACTAGGCTATATGCGGAGCGTCTTTCAAAGTGAGGGGGGGGGGGGGGCACCGACAAAAAGGACGCTTTCTGGAGAAAAAAAATGGGCACCTACAAAGGAAACCTCAAAGCAGAAAAGTCAAGCTTTATACATTGGTATATACCCCTGTACATTGTAATAGATACATTATCAGAGATTATCTTCAAGTTTTTTATTTTTTCGTGGTCCAAGATACTGCTTCGGCATCATACTATGCAGTAACTGTTGTGTGTGATGGTATAAAGCAAAATAAGTAAATCTGATGGGATTTCAAGCACAGTATCATAATTAATGAATAAAGAAGACATTTAATATACACTGTATTGAAATCTTTTGAGTATCAATAAAAATCGCATGTCATACTGCTTCTTTTATTCTTTCTGGATTGTCGGTTCCTAGAACGATTAATAGTTTAAATAAAACTATGACACTTTCTCGCCTGTATGTACAGGGATTTCGTAAAATCTGCTGTGATCAGCAAAAACATTTGAAATAAATGTTTGCATGTCTTCATTTTTTTCATAGCCTTTTCCCATGTCCTTTTAACCAACCTTCACCATCAAAGTGCATAAGACTTTCACTTCTTTTTTATTTGCTACAAAGGATAATTTCCCAAAATCTTATGGTTTTCGTTTATTGCTGTAAAATAAATTTGTTCTTTTCAACTGTATTTCTTTGTATCAGGACAATATAATTATTACCTCCCTGAAAAACTCCCCCGGACAATAACCCCCCGAAAATCCCCCGGAAAATTCCCCCCTCGTTCATTAAAGGGAAAGTTGGTTTTAATAAAAGCAGAGTTTGTTTCGGGGAGGGGGGTAGTCGTCCTTGCAGGGGTGTGATTGTCAAGGGGTAATTTTCATGGGGGGGGGGGGCTTATTGTCCTGGGGGGGGGTGATTGTCATAGAGGATTGTTGTTTCAGGGGTTAATACATTTTCCAGAGAGTAGTTGGGGGGGTGGTTGTCCTCAGGGGGGGGGGGACTTTTGGGGGGATAATGTTCCGTGGGGTAATTGTCCCACTGTCAATTGACCGGGGGTGATTGCCCAGGGACAATTGTCCTTGAACCATATTTATTCCATGCCCCTGAGCCATTTAAGAAAGAAAAAATCATTGTCATCATCTCTGTCATTGTCATCCGAATCCTATCGACTTATACGATCCGACTACGGTCCGGCTATGAGCCTGGTTTTGGAACAAAATTAAATCAATATAGGTTTTTCCGCCCAATTTCATCAGAGTTGCATTCGACTTCATGAATAGGAGTACAAGGTAAAACGGCTTTCGTCAACTCTCTGCTTTCATGGTTCATTTTCATTCTTTGAGAATTTAATTTCATTTTATATCATTTCTTTTAAATTTGTATTTCATTCAATTTAGAGAGAAATCCATTCAATTTACTAACTCGAAGTTATTTGAAAGCGCTTTTTACACGTTTATGTGAGAAAAATCATAAAATCGCATGCTCATACAATTAAATTGAATGAACTATAGTTTTTTTAATGTTGATCTCGGTGATCATTCAAATTCGCTCGAAATTGAATGATCGCAACGTTAAATCGGATGCATGTGATGAAATTGGGCGGGAAAACCTAACTAAGTATATATGAAAATGTGAACAATCATGATTCAATGTTTTTATACTTTTTTCATAGATTGTGTAATGCTCCAGATCTTCAAAAAAATCTGATCGCGGTCAGAACGTATCATGTTCAGTTGGTAATATAAACTCTTCTTTCATCTATATTGTTTTAAAAGGAAATATTCAGCTTATTCTTATTTTTATTTAAGGAATATTGCAGGAATCAGAAGGTTTATTGACTAGTCTGCCAATCATAATGGTGTGTTCTTTAGTTCTATCCCGTAGTGATTATTGTAATGGGCTTCTCTCTACCATTTCCTCGACTAAATTGATTCGTGTGCAACGGCTACAAAATTGGGCAGCCCGATTGATATTTCAGGTTTCTAGGGACCATCCATCTCAGCCACTCTTGAGATCATTACACTGGCTTCCTTTGAAACAAAGAATAATTTTTAAATTACTCTTGTTTGTTTTCAAACTATTCAATAATCCAGCTCCACAATTTTTAGATACCTGTTTGAATTTATATACACCTGCCAGGGCATTGAGGTCAGCCAGTGATCCTCTCCGTCTCACATATTCAGTTACCCGCACATTAGCCGGTGATAGGACATTTACTGTATCTGCTTCAAAATGTTGGAATGATCTACCACTTAGAATCAGGCAGTCTACATCAGTTATTACTTTCAGAAAGGCCTTAAAAACACTTCCTTTTTTTGCAGTTTGTAGTTGTTTTTTTTCTAGTTATGTATTTATTTAATTTTTATTTTCATTCACTGTAAGCGCCTTGGGCCTCGTGGGAAAAACGCGGTAAAAGTAATAATAATAATAATAATAATACTCTTCTAATTTATTTCCTCGATTTTAAAATATTGTACATTATGTTTTTTTTTATAAATGTTATCAAAACACAGACAAAATTATAATACTTATATTTGTGCCAATCGGCAGTCGTGGCAGACCAGCGATGTGGCAAAATAATGGCTAAAGTGACACATACATGGTTAAACCGTCATCACACTATCACTCTTATGACCACGATTCCGTCATCGAACTACGCAACATACCTTGGGAAGTTATCGAGGCAGATCGTAAATCCGATGTCGCACCCGCCGCAGTCGATGGGCGCCTCGTCGCAGCAATCATAGCTGAAGTCCCTGAAATCCCCCAAGTAATTTTGCAGCTCCAAGGCGAACGTTCCTGTTGCCGATACATCCTTTATGACCTTCAAAAAAAATAAACAGACATAAATATTCGGTAAAACTTACTGTTTTGACCTATTTTAAAAATTGAGTTTTACTCAAATTTGGATATGCACATCTTCTGAATATGCTGCCTCTAGCCCGTGGCTGGTAGTCTATAAGTCTTGGAAAAGTCGTGGGACGGGTCTTGGGTAATTGTATGGTTGCAGGTGCTGAAATGAAGTCGCAAAACCGAAATAAGTCAATCATTTTTTGGTCAAAATTTCGTATTAAGGTTGAAAACCATTGAACAAAAAAGAAAATAACCAGTTACAAACTTGGTTCGTCTAGTCATGATGTTCGTATATTCCCTATACTCTGAGCCTATCTGCATCATCATCATTAACTTACCACTGACGTAAGAATCAGGAGCGGGAGCACGAATCCACGTTTTAACTCCATGGCGTCTTGATTTGGAATGCCTACCAGACTCCAGTCAAGAGTGTAGATTGATACGCCTCTGCGGATCCTGATTTTGAAACCATGGACCTACTAAGAGAAACCTTACGCCCCTCAAAGTTTTTCAAGGGTTGGGCCTGCGATCTCATCTAAACCAACTGTAGATCTTATCTCTATAAGATGGGTGGATTGTGTAATAGTTAATCATATCAATCAAAGTTTAGTGATCTTACAACCTGGTACAGATTTCCTCTTTATTATTTGATTAGATGCCTGTATCTAAAGGTACAGAATAGTTCAATGTAAGATAAAAGCGGGATAAGTGACGTTCCTATTAAAACAGAATCCGTAGTCTTCGTAATGAGCTGTTCTCCCAAAGGCAATGGCCAATTTATAATTACTATTTTGGGGAGGGGGTCGGGGATGATGTGGCGTCGAATATATTGAGGATGGATGCTGTAAAGCGCGTGTTGTGGTTTACATAAATGGATAAAACAGCAGTTTGTACAGAGGAGGCTTTGTCTGGGTGTTTAAGTATATTCATTCCTGAGAAGTACACTTTTCTCATCATACCTGTACAAAGCGGTTTAAAGTTATACGAATTCGTAGTATTGTAATATCGGAGCTTCTTTTATTCCTAGCAGATGTTTCCGCTTTTATTGAAAATCAAACCAAATATTCAAACAACAATAATAATAATAATATAAGTCTCGCAATGTGGTCAATAAGGAATCTAAAAGATCACGACGTCCCTTGTTGACCATACATTGCGAGACAAACGAATATCACTAGCGATAATATTTTCGATACTACATCCGCAATGAGTTATATATTTAGCAACTATAATAATATATAATATAACTGATTTACATAAAATGTAGCAGCTGAAATGAAAAAAAATAATTAAAGATTAAAAAGAATAAAAGCTTGAGTCAATAGCAGCCGGGGGGGGGGGGGGGGGCTAAATGATGCTGTTATACGAATGGGTAGGAGAATGGAGTGTCACATGTTAATATGTTTTCTCTTCAGAAAGTATATGAATAAAAGGTTGGAATATAATGGAGAAAAAATAGTTTAATCAGACTTTGGTCACTTCACGATTGGCAACAAAGAGACAATGATGGTGATGATGATGATGATGATCATCATCATCTATACGGGAGTATATGTCATGTAGGTCTCCCGGTCAGATCACTTGGTACATTAGTAAAGGACTATAAAACAGTGCATGCGTGGGTGTCAGACTATGCTATAACAAAGTGTTTGTCTGACCAAAAAGAATCCAAGTTGTGCGCAGGGGGTGTGTTTTGGGGGTTCAAACCCCCCCCCCTTTGGTATTTTAATGTATGTAAACCCCCTAAAAAAACCAAAAACCCCCCCCCTTTGGCTTTTTTTTTTAAAATTTTTTTTATTAAAAAAAAAAAAAAAAAAAAAAAAAAAAAAAATTATACCCACGGCTAACCTAAATAAGGTGACCTTACCCCCCCCCCCATACGTAAAAAAATGTCAAATTTTGAAATTTTGAGACCAAAAAAAAAAAAAAAAAAGTGTCCGCTTACCCCCCACCCCCCCCCCCCCCCCCCCCCCCCCCCCCCCCCCCCACTGAGCGACTTTTCGGCCGGCGCGATTTTCAAATTTTCGGGAGCAAAATATTTTAAAACCCCCCCCTTGAAAAAATCCTGCGTACGCCCCTGATGCATGCATATTTCCATATAATATTACTTCGTCATTTTAAAAGAAGCGGACAGATAGTTTTCATGAGTTATAAGATAGTTGTACATAATAAGATTACACTTTTCTGACTAAGTGATGACATAATAGTTGTATTCGATTGTCATGGCCATTTTCCGAGATTGGGCCTTAATATTTGAACCAGAGATTTGTAACGGGTACACCTTAAAACATAAATGTTAAATCGACAACGGTGTCGATTTGTATCCGTGGTTGGGGGGGGGGGGGGGGTGATAGGTGCCAAAATATTTTCGGCAATGGAACAAAGCAACCAAGAGGTAGAAGCGTGTGGCAATTTGCACTCCCTCCCTTCCAAGTTATTAAGTCACCCTCAATAAAGATAACATTTCAGAGAATATGGGACCCATGTGGGTCCCACATGGGCTTACTACCTGGGTTATTATCCTCTCAAGCGCATAGCGAGGATTTTTTTTTAGGGGGCGGTTGTGAGCAGGGGAATCACTTACAGAGCGCGCGAAGCGCGCTCCCTAGGGGGATGGGTGCAGGGAGTGGGGTTTCCCCCCGTCCCGCGCGAAGCGCGGAAGCTTTGACGTTTCATTAAATTATTAGAGAAAGTAGCCAATTCGTTGAACCGTTCTCGACTCTTAATCCTTGTTTGAATCAAGTTCAGCTTCCTCCGCGCGTAGCGCGCAAGCTTTGACGTTTCATTTAATTTTTAGAGAAAGAAGACGATTCGTTGTACCGTTCTCGACTCTTAATCCTTGTCTGAATTCATTCCCCCCCCCCCTTCCCGCGCAAAGCGCGGAAGCTTTGAGGTTTGATTACATTATTAGAGAAAGAAGACGATTCGTCGTACCGTTCTCGACACTTAATCCTTTTTCTTTCTACGTCCTCTTCCTTTCTTTTTTTCTCTCTCTTTCCTTTTTTGGGGGGCTGGCGTTTTTTTGGGGGGGGGGGGGGGCGACCGCCCCCACCTCCCCCTGGCTACGCGCCTGTATCCTCTCTGCCTCTTATTATCTCTCTCTTCCACTCTCTACTCCTTTTTTTGCACTTTTGTGCTTCGCGCTTAACATTTAGTTCGTTGCTTTTTAACGCTGCGGCTTTGCATTTGGCGCACTGCATTTCTATGTGGCTGTTGATTGAATAAATTGAATACATTCATCAATTCATCAGAATTCATTTTATTCTTGTCTCATATACGGTTGTCTCATTTACGTATGTATTATGAAAATGATATAGCAAAATGTGTATATTGATGGTCATCTTGCGAGTAATAACCATTAACTACTCTCATCGGGCTCTCATCATTAATTTTTCTCTTCATTTTTTTAAATTTTGTATGGTGAATTATTGGGGGGGGGATGATTGTACAGGCCATCCCCCACTTGAAATATTAGGGGGGGGGTATATACCCTCCCCCCCCCCCCGGATCGACACCCATGATCAACTTTTTATAGGGCCGAAGAGTGACTACTTTTTATAGTAGTGGTAGATTACAACTTTAAACATGGTGGATCAAACACTATAAAGGTTTAATCCAGCATGTACAAGCATCTGAAATTTTTTTAAAAATCACTTCTCGGCCCTTATTCGAGATTTGACATTTCATTTCAGTTTGTAGAGTGTATCGTTAAACGTAAATTGGTTAATTATTTTGAGCAAAGTGCCTTGTAGTCATGTTTGACTTGAAGATTTGAGGTGTGTTTCAATTCATTCGGGTCATCCTGGTTTATGTCGGTACTCGAAGATGGATACGATGATTACCAAAGGTGCGGCGGACCGGTAGTCATTATTTACCCTTCTTATAAGCAAAGCTTATCTAAAAATCTCTATTTCTTTTTATTTGGTTTCGCCTAATTGTTTTGGGCACAACACGGCGTCGTCAATCAGAATTAATTGACGTCACACAATTAAGTATAATAACCTAGTACACTGTTGCCCATTAAGTCGAAATAGTTTTCCTTACCTGTTTTCATGAAATGGTTATGACAATATGATTTAATCTTCATAGATGCAGTTTATATCTTCTCAGAACGTTATTGATTAATCTGAGTTTTAGATAATTTCAATAAAGTTCCGAGCAGATATATTATAAACTCTACATCATCAAGAATAAACCATAATGTCACAATCATTTCATAAAGCAGATGTAAGAAACAACTTGTTCAAACTTTATTGGCAACAGCGTTCTATGTTTTTAAAAATAAAAATTGAAGTACATGTTCATTAGTGGAGATTTTTTTTTGTTAGTATGGCTTTTCTACCCAAACTGACCAAAGCACTCATTATGTTGCTGTATTCATTAGAAACGCGGACTAAATATTTCATTCGCAGGACAACTAAACAGGACAGATACAAATTTCCGCTAATCTCGCAAAAAAATGAAGAGAACAAGTACAAGAAGGAGCAGGCCCATGCATGCAACAACAAATCACTAACATTTATGCGATGCCAGAATTCCTATATTTTCAAATCTTCATACCTTTGGTGAAGATTTCTTAGAATATGATTTCTCTCATGAGGGCTTATGATTTTCTTGTTTTTTTTTCTTGAAAGGCTATTCAATGAAGAAGAAAAAACATCAATCTTGGCTACAAACATGACCAATACAAAAACAACATTAAGACGACAGCAAAAAAAAAAACAAAAAAAAAGAAAGAGTGAAAACAAAAATCATGGCAGATCAAATGATCAACTAATGTATACTTTTCATTCCAATACACTTCTTTGTTATGTATAATTCTGCTGGACAAAGCATAATCTTAATCGTATGACAGATGAACCGAAACATTTTAATTCAAGTTTTTCTGACCTACAACTTTTTGCATAAAAAGGAAAAGTACTCAACACCAGCCCCTTCCCCCTTCAACATAAAATGGGGCGTGTCTCTGCTTACGCCAGAGAGGTGTCTGCCAAAATAATGTACTGCAGATTTGGTAAGTGGCCCTTGCCCCGTTTGCTTGCCCCCCCCCCCCCCGATATCGAAGAAAGAATGCTTAAAACGGGGTCAGCACTATGACGTCATGTAGGTGTGGTAACTGCCAATCTGAAATCGAAGGGAGTTATCTCGGTGTATCTTGCCTTCGATCTGTAATCTTGATTTTACTTAAAAGATTTCGACAAATATGAAAAATCTATTAAAGGTAAAGACCAGTTATGGTCATGCGATTGCATTGTGAAAGAAACGTTGTGGAATCGATCAGAAAAGGTTGATCATCTAGCATCTAGCATCTGCAAGGTTCTGGAATCATCAAAATGATAAGAAATTTGGCCCATTGTTCGTAAAGTTACAAGCACTATACACAGAAAGATGTATATGGGACTACCTTATATCTCTCACAGACCATGAGAGAAACAAATTTACCAAATATATGAATTAGTAGGGGGTTTCCCGGCAAATTTTTTATCATCATGTATTGGTCAAAACATATTCTTTCACATGATTGGTAATGAGAGCTTCCATTTCATTTTTTGAAATTGGGGCGTTACCAATACTGGTCTTTACCTTTAAAAGTCGAATCAAAATTTCACTCTACTATTCAAGAGAAGAGGTGAGAGAGTATAATATAAAGAGAGATATAGCCTGATAAAAAGAGGGAGAGATAGAAAGATAGAGAAAGGGAGCGGAGAGGGGGGGGGGGGGGGGGGGGAGAGAAAGAGATGGCCTCGCCAGCTCCCCTGCCTCTCTCATCCATCCCCCCAAACATGTAGTTGTTGGATTTAGAGGTGGGGGTGGAGAGAGAGAGAAAAAATGGTGAAGATGAGAGAAATGAAACAAAAAAAATAGAACGTATAACTACCTACACACAATGAAATAGTGAATGTTTTTACCCAGCTCTTCTCGTGTAAAGAAAAATGAAAAAAGAATGCTTAAAAGTCATTCGAAATTCATAATTCGGACTCAGAGGAACAGTAAGATATATCATAGCCGGAGCTGAATGTTCAAGTCGCTGGAGGGATTACAACACTCGCTGCAATATTGCATAACATGCTCAATTTATGACGTCATCCAACTGTGTGCTTCATGAATGAATGACGAAAGCCGGTACGTAAGTCGTAATAAGATTTCTTTATTTTCTTATAAATGAGTGATTTAAAATATGTCACATAGAGTGAAGTCTGTTTCTTAAGCTCAATTTGATATAATAATCCCTGTGTGTTAATTTGTGTACCCCGCGCACAGTGATTTTTGTGAATTTGAGTATGTTGTTGTATGCCCGTTGTATGTAGACTGATACTGATAGTGTTCCCACATGTTGAAGTTTGTGTTGGTGTTGAGGGTGTGTAATTGGTGTGGCCTAAAATAAATAGATAATTTCACGCACATTTTTTTCAGTTCGATACAAAAAGAAAGAATCAGTTTTTGTTTTAAGGAATTGGATATGTGACCCATAATTCCTTGCACGCAGCATGTCCTTATAAAAATGAATTTACATGAAGGGGGCAAAACAAACAAAGAAACAAAGAAACAAAGGAGCTTTGATTCTTCAAAGGATTCTTGTCTTGTCAATGTCATAATATAGGTCTATTGCACCAACCTTGGCCTCTTCTTCTTCTTCTTCAATACATGTCGACAGACTTGTTAGTCCATATAAAGACACGGCTTCCGGACTGTAAACTTGCTGTCCGCCATGCATGCAGTTCCTTGTAATATAATTTGGCTTTGACAAGAGTGCCTTAAAAAGATTTTCTGTCTGGCACAGATTTTATATCTAATAAATGTAGGGAGTTCGAATCAGAGTATTTTCACTCAAGGAAGCATTTGTACAGGTATATACTTTTTCTTATACAAATTTGTGATTTGTATTTATCTGCAAAGAAATTGTATGAAATATACACATTTGTCATGTCCAAACATAGTGAAAGATCAGTTAAAACTCTTTAATGTTGTAGTTTGATAGGTTCTAGCCCGAATTTTCTGTCTCTTTCGTTCGTTAGCCTCTGAGGAGCCGACCCTACCCAAATCAGAGGCTTGCTAACGAAAGAGACAGAAAATTCGGGCTAGGTAGGTTCATATGACATGTGACTTGTACTTCTTGGTTATTTTGATCAAGTGATAGATTGTGTTACTTTTACGTTTCTTTTTTTAAAAGGAGATTATACAAATTGAAACTACCTGCACTTGATCAAGAATGGGGAAGAATTAATTATTAGTGTTCTATGGATATTGATCCTGAATGTCTTAGTTACAATGTTTTGTTTTGATATTTTAAAGTGCCTAATTTCTTCAGTTGATAGATTGTTTTACATTTCTCTTTTTTGTGATAGATATTTAAAGAATTAAAGATCTAGCACATGTGTACAGAATGGGAAAGAAACGGTTCCTTTTGTTATATGGATCAGAGACTGGTCAATCCCAAGCCATAGCTGAAGAGATTCATGAGTTGTCTTCAAAACATGATCTAGAGTCAGAAATCCATTGCCTCAGTCTCACAGAAAAGAAGGTAAACCCAAAGTCATATGTCAGTTTCTATGTATCCATGATACCTAATATTTTGTAATCTGAATAGAATAATTTTCTGGAAATTTTTGAAGTAAGGGGCAGCATCTCATGAAAGCACTGTATGTCAAGTTTGCTGACATCCTATTGGAATATTTTAAATTTGTGATTCATATTTCAATGGGGTGTGTGTACTACATTAATGCAGATTTTTACAAGAGCCATATTGTGAATTCAGTGCATCATTTTATATGGAGTGGCTTATAGTCACTTGTGTGTGAATCTTCAAGGTGATTTTGTGGCTGAAGCAAGAGCTTGGAACTAAAAGAACCGAGTTTGCAGTTAAAACAAGGTATATAGATGAACATGTACAATTGCATATGTTTTTAAAAAACTAATTACAGCAAAAAATATGGTCTTTACGGTATGCATTTGCGCTGTGTTACAAAATCAATAGGTTTTTAATAGGTGAAAGGAAGGCCGGTTGAAAAATACTAATTTTGATGGTAAAATACCAATTTTGGAGGTGCTGAGTACTAATTTGTACTTCCAAAGGTTGGCAGCTCTGGGTGTCCATGAACTTAAAGTGGTTTTGTGGGAGGCTGCCATGCTATTTTTCAGCAAACTTCAAAACTTCTGTCTTTAAATTGATGTATGACCCATAGTATGCTGAAGCTTTTCCCTTATATCCTTGTTAGGTATACCCAAGCTTAAACATACCTTGGAATCCTTGGATTATCCTTTCATGAAAGAGTTACAGTTCATGATGAATGATTTTCTTCTGCCTTTTCTTTGATAATTTTTACGTTAAACAAAAAACTCACTTTTATTTAGTTTTGGCTAGATAGCCTCTTTAACCAGTTCATGATTTATTCACCCTATACAGTTCAGTCTGTCTAAAGAGACATGCATGGTCATGGTTGTCTCTACCACCGGAGAAGGAGAATGTCCAGAAACAGCCATGAAGTTCTGGAGACGCCTCAGGAAAACCACCCTTCCTTCTGATCATTTAGCTAATCTCAACTTTGCTTTGTTAGGTAAGACTATTACTTGGTAATATCATAATATATATAAAAGATTACTTATGATTATTCCAGAGGGGGGGGGGGGGGACTTCTTAATTGTCTCATTAATGAAGTCATAAGAGTTTAGCATCTCGTGTAGGATTTCATGGTAGGAAAGAAGCAAATTATTGGATACAATTCTTCAACATACTGGTAAAAAAAAAATTTAAAAAGTGAGTGATTTTAGTAAACAATTAGTATTACCTTTATTAAAGAAAAGTTACTATCAACAAGTTATGCAATAAAAGGGACTTCAAACATTTCCTTTTTTGTAATCCAGATTTTTGGGATTCTGTACGTTTTCATTTTCATTTTGTTGCAGGATTCTCCTTGCTGTAAGCGCTTTGGGCAGCTCTGGGAAAAGCGCAGTATATGCATGATAATAATAATAATAATGATAATAAAATAATAAATAATAGTTTACTGCTGAAAGGTAAGGAAAATCAGTGAATGTTTCTACCTCTTTGGGGATTCATATTAGTTCAAATCCTTTGAAAAGTCTATAATTATTAATTAGAATGCTGCATAGTTAGTGAAATATCATTGCTATTATGTCAGCAAGTTCCAATGTGAAGAAAGGATTAGGGCAAATCTTAGAGAATAATTGACATTTACTTTTATGTTTTCATCTTTTCAAGCACTGGGAGACTCAAACTACAGCAATTTCTGCAGAAATGGCAAGAACTTTGATGAGAGATTACAAGAGCTTGGTGCCAAGCACATCTATCCTACCGGATATGCAGATGATGCTACAGGGTATGTTGCTATCATACCACTTTTATGAGGCACCTAAGGTTCATCATATGCAAAAGCAGCCAAACTTGTGGGCAGTACAGGTTAAGAAAAATTCTACTGAAATATGTCTGGTAAAATTGACATGCATTTCAATGGGTTTCAGTGAATTTGTACTTCTGAAAGGTTCATGAAATAAGTCCCTATATTCCAAAGGTGTTTATGAATTACATACAGTTGTGCTATAATAATAGCTGCTAGCACCTTGCATAAAAGAAGATAAATTCTAAATCACATTGTAATTTCTCAAAATTGGGGCATTCTCGATTTGAGATTTGAAGATATTTACTTTAGTAATTTCTCTCATAGATGTAGCCAGAAATAAGTGAATAAGGAAGTATTGTATGAGCACAGTTTCACTTTTGAAATAAAACTACAAGATTCAGAAATTAAAGTTGTACTGTACTGACTGTGAACCTTACATAAAGTTTTCCTTTGAGGTTTTCAGTTTTCTCGCTTAAAACGTTAAGAAAATAAAGTAACATGCCTACAGAGCATATTTAGTTTAATATTGATAAATATGATCAATCTAACATCTCGACCCTCATTGTGAGTGTTTATTGTTTTCACGGCAATATCTTTACCTGAAGCTGTAAAGTTTTTTTAATTTTTTTAATTGTGATATTTAGGTTAGAGGTTGTTGTGGAGCCATGGATAGAAGGACTTTGGAAAGCACTTCACAAAGTCATGGATAAGCAAGGTACACCAGACTCAAATGGCTGTCTTGAAAATGGCCACCTTGAAATAAATGGGAAAAGAAACAAGGAAAACAGAAACGAAAGAATGATAGGAGAAAATGCTGAAAGTGGTACAACTCAGAATGGTTCCTTGCACATTGTTCAGGCAGACCAGGCACAACCAAAGACTGGTGAGCAATCTTCTACAGGCAATAACACAAGTGCAATGTCAGGCAATGATGTGAATGGCTCTGATTCACCTGACCATCCTGGAAACAGTAACAATATCGCTCAAACCTTGCAAAGAACTCCCTCACAGTCAACCAGTACTGATCCATATATCAAAGTGGAGGAATCAACAGATGGGAAGGTGGAGGGACCAACGGTGTCATCACTTACCCATTCTCTACCTCCCCTCAGTGAAAGTGGACTCACCCTACCTGCATTGCCTCCCCCTTTTCTGAAAGTGGTATATGCCCACAATGAAACAATAGTGAGTATAAAATTGCACTGCATACCACTGGAAACACTTTGGATGTTTTGAATACATTTTAACAAATTTATTATGTTAGGTTTTAGATTTGAATTTTGATGATAATTGATGGTATAGTGTTTGTAAATCAATAAAAATGTTCTATCGTCTGTAATAATTTGTTTTCAAGTTGAATTAAATGATCAGTTCTTTCATAATCTACAGTGATTTCAAAGATATCTACACTTTTTATGGCAGGGGGTGGGGTTCTGGTCATTGACTCAAATATTCTTTTATTACTAATTGAATGTCAAAATGAACATTTTAATTTAGTACATTCTTATTCTAAGGTAAATTTTATTTCTTAATCATATTAATGTAGAAAGTGGACCTAAAAATGCTTCAGTTAGTGACAACATTATTTAGACAGACAGTAAGCAATAGGTTGGATATACCATTGGTTTAAATTGTAATCTAACACTGTGTCAACTCTGACTTCTTTCTTTTAGGACCTTGAATCTTTGCCAATACAAGGAGGAGCAGCTCTTCCATCCGCATCTTCTGGTGTCATCCAAGCAATGGTTGTCAAGGCAACCCAGCTGACTAGGGATGATGCGGTTAAGACTGCACTGGACATAGAGCTGAAGGTTGCAGTAAGTGTCTTGTATAGAAACATGCCCTTGAGCTTGTATGTAAGAGTATGTCAGCGAGTCTCTTAATGATTATGAATGTGGTTGAAGAAGGATAGGTACAAGTATAAGCATGGATGCTCAACATCTGTTCTAGCAACATTGCTCCTCGATTAATTTCTAGAAAGATATGGGTTATGGGATCGGTTGACATTGTTTTTTTGTCGTTAGATGTAGGATAAAGGTAAGGTATGGTGTTGAATGCAAGGTTCAATTCAAGAATTCAAACAGTGTTGGAAGTTGATCGTGGAGCAATCGTCTCTTATGCATGATACACCCAAATAAAGCAAATTTAGTTGAAAAGTGATTAAAAACATGCAGGTTCTTCAAAGATGCTTCCTATATGTGCTTACATGTTTTTAAATGCCTGAGCCATATTTAAATCATGTTTGTTTCTCTTAGGAAAACTCAATGAGCTTCCAGCCCGGAGATTCCTTCAGCATCATCTGTCCAAATGATGCTGGTGAGGTCACAGATCTCCTCCATCGTCTTGGACTAAGAGAGATGGCAGATGTGCCTCTCAGAATATCTGTTCTAGAAGGCACCAAGAAGAGGAAAGCTGCTGTAGCTGACTTTGTTCCAACGTTCAGTACCCTACGGTATATTTTCACCACCTGCTGTGACGTCAGGGTACTTCCAAAGAAGGTGTGGTATATGAATTAAGTAGTTTAACCTTAAGCCAGATACAGAGGTGCCAACCAGTATGATTTAATCGTATTTAGTACGATAATAAGAGTGGAATACGATAATACGATATCCCCTTTCAAAATACAATTTTTTTTTTTTTTTTTAATTTCTTTTTTAATATATATATTTTTTTTAAATATTTTTTTTATACCCATAAAAACCATTGAATCGCATGGAAAACATGTACAAGTAAACCCCCACAACCCCAACAAAAACTTTGATGTACAATTTCTTTTAAAATTTTAATGAAAGAGCAAACATTTTAATTGACCGTACGTACCAGTATCACATTTTTCTGAAATTTTCCTGGCCCGGTCGACATGTACAATTGCATATGTTTAAAAAAAACTAATTACAGCAAAAATATGGTCTACGGTATGCATTTGCGCTGCGTTACAACATCAATAGGTTTTTAATAGGTGAAAGGAAGGCCGGTTGAAAAATACTAATTTTGATGGTAAAATACTAATTTTGGAGGTGCTGAGTACTAATTTGTACTTCCAAAGGTTGGCAGCTCTGCAGATATATTGTAAGTAGGAATCTGTGTAGGTAATGTGTTACACAGAAATTAGATTGTGTCCAATGGAACTATTTCATATTATCATTATTGCCTATATGTGACCAGCCTTTTTTTTTCCCTATTTTTTCTTAATTGAGGACACCTTTCTGTGAAATTTTCCTAATTAAAAAAAAAATAGTAATGTAAAGTATTATTGGCTGCTATTCAGGTCTACACTTTTCTATCATCATAACCCAAGACCACCTTCATCAATTCTGTTATGATTACATGAAGGCCTAGTTTTGATCATTCATTTTTACCCCCTTAGGCTTTCTTACGCACACTTGTTGAATACACCAGTGACCCCAAGGAGAAGCGACGTCTGCAGGAGCTATGCAGCAAACAGGGTCAGCCAGACTATGCAGCTTTCTTACGGGCACCTAGTCTCTCGTTGATGGATGTTCTCATCGCCTTCCCATCATGCCTTCCTCCTATTGAGCGCATCCTGGAGCACATGACTAGATTAAAACCGCGGCCTTACTCAATATCAAGGTACGGGGGATGATAATTGCCCATTTTGAAGAAAAATGATGGACAAATTGGCCTGAATTGTCCAGCTTTATCTGAACTCATTGGTCTAATTTAAGTGAGAATAATATGGGTGTGTTCTCATATGAAATGCGTGGGAAATATACATTTGTGAATGCTTATTTTAGGTTTAAATCATGCTTTAGAGCCCTTTTGAACTTTAAACATTCTTCATGAATTTGGGCCAGTAGAACTTTTAAAATGAGTTAGCTGTATACATAATTGAAAGTAGGTTCATTCACCTGTTTCTCAATCAAAAAGTTGAAACCTTTCCTTTTCAACATTTATACCTACCTGTAACAAATAATTACCTTTCTTGAGTCTCAACCATTTATATAACGAATCGATACTTGCAAGATTTATTTGTTGCCATGCATTATATCTCACTGCAACAACAGACATACTGGTATTTCATTTAGATTTTTAGCTGTTTTGTTGTTGTTCATATTGTCCTTAGGCCTGTTCATTATCAAGAATTTGTATTCCACATTGAGGTATAGAGTACATGACTTTCTAAATCAATTCTCTTAATTTATGTTGTCTGCCCAAACTTCATGTTTGTATTTGAAATGGCTGTAATTTGACCATGAACTATTGATTTGAACCAAAGCTTTTCTCTGAATTTAGGACCAAAAAAAACAAAAACTTTCTACTCTCTGTTGTTATGTATAGCTCACCATTGACCAGCCCTACCAGCTTCCATTTTGTGTTCAATATCATTGACATACCTGCTGGAGAAGGGCGGAGCCAAGCGAGGAAGGGGGTATGTACTGGATGGCTGAGTCACCTAGCAACAAGGGGGCGGGGGCAAAACTCATACCAAACAATTATGCAGAACTTGGAAGAGAAGATTGACAAATTTGCATTGGAGGAGGAGGCAGCTAGAGAGGTAAGCAAATACATTTTTAATATTTTTATTTAGGCTTTATTTCCACATTAACTGCATATGAAAAGAATATACAAAGTAAAGCTAAACAAGGTAACAAAACATGTACATAATATTCAATTGATACAACAGTAACAAAAAACGATGTAATGACAAGTCATTAAATACATATGATGCTAACAATTATCTGCAGTAATGAGGAGGAAACCTTGGAAGCATTATGCTTGTAATTAAGGTTCCCTTCGTTTTATTTTCTTCAATTTATCCTTTTTTTTCCTTAGTGCTTTTTACTGCATCTTGTTGCATAGTACATGATTTTGTATCATTCAAAATATTGTAGCATTGATACTTGAATGAATTGGATCATGCAATACTCGTTACTACCTGAAGATTGGCATATTGCTATCATTGGACAGATTATTGATTGAAAATTGTGTAAGAGATTAATAGCTTACCATAACTTTGTTTTTTATCAATTTTATTTGATTGTACAATGGACTAACAGCCCAACACAAAAGCCCAACACAAAAGAAGTGCAAAGATGTCTCATGCAATGCAGTGAGCTTCCTGCACATACATTTAACACTCCTTCATATTGTCTACTTAGATCCAGAAGAGTGTTAACTCATATCCTGGCTCCCAACAGACCACATGTTTATTGATGTGCAATCCAACTGCAATTTCCATCATTTTCTTATTTAAGCTTTCGGATCGTCCGAGGGTTTAAACATCCTGTTATCTTGGTATTTAAACAAAGAAATATGATTAATAAAAATTCCTCTGTGATATTGACTAATAACAGAAATGAAAATGACATTTTATTATTTCTTCATTCTTCTTGTATACCCGGTTCAGATACCCATCTACTCCAGGACCAACCAACATTTCCACCTGCCATCGGACACCTCCAAACCCCTCGTCTTGATTGGTCCTGGGACGGGCGTGGCACCTTTCATTGGTTTCCTTGAGCATCGTAGTCACATGATGAAGGAAGCGGGAGACGGGAATATGACCTTTGGCCCTGTATGGTTGCTGTTTGGTTGCAGACATAAAGACAGGGATTACTTGTATAGGTATGTTTAACCCTTCATAGGCCTTTGTTTATAATGGAATAAGAGATATATGATATTAATTGCTTCATTAAATTGTGCAAATAAGTTATCCTAGGGGATGCTCAAGGCTGCCATAGTACTAGTTTTTACGCCTAGCTGCTTTAATAGGGTGCTCAAAGAAGTAAACGAATTGCTTTCTGCAAGGTAACCATTTACTACACCTGGGTGGAGAGTGGGCAATGTAGATTTATGTCTTGCCAAAGATTAAGCATGGGCTTGAACAGGAAATGGTTTGATCCATAGTCTAGTTACATCAATGATGATTGTGATTACTGTAACTAATGATTTCAAGACAGTCGTTTTGTGTTTTAATACGAGGAGATATAGTGTAATCTTTGCAGTCTAGTATACTCTAACCTGAATTCAAGGATGACATAAGGAAACAAGAAAGGCAGTCCCTATAGATGTTTACGGGTAGTCCTTTTAATGAGGTTCTCTTTACATACAGATTCCTATGCAAAACACTTCTTAAGGAAAATGAAGAAAGAGATTCTTTAAGATGGCTCATCATTTTGTAAAATGTTTGCTTTAATTTTTTATTTTTCTTAATACATGTACATTAATGTGATTTAAGTTCCTCCTTACTTTCGATGATAAATTTTCTTCTTTTTTTTTTTCTTTTTCATTCATTGAACAACAGGGAAAAGCTCGAAGAATTCCAGAAGACTGGTGTCCTGTCAAATCTCTGTGTGTCTTTCTCTAGAGATGAGCCAGCTGATGATGGTAGTAGTGAACAGGCACCACGCTACGTGCAGGACAACATGAAGACCCACAAGGAAGGGTTGTCAGAGTTGCTGCTGGAGAAGGGGGGCTTTGTGTATGTGTGTGGGTAAGTGGTCGTTTTACCTTGAACCTTGAAGAATTACTCTCCCAAAAGCGTGAATGTTGTCCTGGAGAGGGCTGTGCTGTGTTGCGTGCTGTTGGTGAAGTGATGGTGGTTGTTCTCTGTGCACTATATACAATGTGCAGGGTGCAGTGTGCAGGTGGTGCAGGTGTGTCCCTCGTTACAACATCTTCAGGGGCAGGGGCGGCGCCATAGTCTGTATGGCGGGTAGTGCTGCTCCCCTAAAGCCAAGAATTGTATTTGCAGTGACAGCATATACTTTGTATAGTTTGTTTCGTACAGTCAAACCTCTCTATAAAGGCCACCAAAAGGAAATAGGCAAAGTGACAACTGTAGACAGGTGACCTTTCTAGACAGGTTCTAAACTACATATTTCTTTGTAGAGGGAGACATGGTAGGTGACCATTTTATACTGGTGGTCTTTATAGGGAGGTGACCACTAAGATGGTTTGGCTGTTGAAGTGGATGATTGTAGCCAGTGACATGATACATTTATCCTCCTGAATCCCCCCCCCTCCCCCCCCCCCCCATGTTCTAGGTATTTGTGCACCAAGTAATAGATTATCAAAGTATCATAATTTTAGTGCCAAGGTTTATTTATCAAGATGATTATGATAGGCTATATAATCCTCTGGTCAGCACCACCAAGGAGCCTTGAAATTAAACAATAGTTTAAACCTTTATCATGAAATAAAAAAAGGCGTGAAATCTCTTTTAAAATTGCACAATGAGTTTCATTCAAGGGTGTGAAATTGATTCAGAATGACTTAATTTAAACTGTTTTAGTTCAAATTTCAAATTTATTCATGTTTCCAACAAAACATTACAAATCAATTATGAAGTTTAACATTTTCTCGAGATGTTATAAGAAACAGTGTTTTGTGATCCTGAGTCATGTGGACTTTATTTTTCCATTGATTGTTTGTATAGATCTTGCATGGCAAGTCACGTGTGACATTTGAATACTTTCCTTTCCCAGAATTTGACCATATATGAAGATTCTCTGTTAGTTTGACATATGCACAGTACTAGCAATGTGATTTCAATACTGATCCATTCATTGACACAGTACTTTATTTCTTGTTCTTCTCATTTAAAAAGTGATGCCAAGAATATGGCCAAGAATGTCTTGGAGACTTGGAAGGAGATCCTCAAAGAAAAGACTGGGCAAGGAGACTATGACATGCTACAGCTCATTGCTAACTTAAGAGAGGAAAAGAGATACGTGGAGGATGTTTGGACTTGAAAAAGAAAAATGGTTTGTCCAGGAGAGAAACAAGTTATCGCTGTTTTGAGACACAAGGGCGTTCAATCACACAATTTAAAACCAAGTTAATGTCCTTGTGGCTCCAAACAGAAGTCATTTTGAGTTTACTTGAGGAGATCATCAAACAAAAGACTGGACAAGGAGACTATGGCATGATGTAATTCATCTCTGAGAGTGGAGAGGATACGTCAAAGAGGTGTGGATTTGAAAAAAAGGTTTGTCTAGAAGAGACACAAGATATTACAGGTTTCTGTTGAGGAGAGCCTCAAAGAAAAGACTGGTCAAGGAGACAGTGACCTGCTACAGCTCAGTGCTAAGTTTAAAGAGGAAAGGAGATAGCTTAAGGATGTATGGACTTGTAAAAGTGTGGGGAGAAACAAGGTATTTTCTCTCCAGCACTAACTAATCACCCCTGTATTTATCTTCATGATTTAGGGTTTAAAGGGGAACTTTAAGCATGATGGAAAATGAGTAGTGATGTATTGGTGTATTACCCAAACTCAGACATTTTATACCCAGCTGAGTAATATTCAGTATCTACAATGCTTTTATTTCGCCACACATCAATTATTGGAATGAGATATGGAGCAAAACATGTGACATCCATATTGATGAACTATATATTGTTCAAAAATGTGCAATTACGACTGACATAAAACAAAGAGTGACTTCCATAGTCTCAGTCTACCACTATCTATTAAATTAAAAAGTCTTCCAGTGTTTGAACTTGTAAATATGTCAGTTTTCATGTTTAAGCATCACACAGGGATTCTCCCAGAATTTTTGATAACATGTTTAGAACAAATTCTTCATTCCATACGTATCCCACTCGTACATGGGATAATCTTTGTGTTCCCATCACTCATTATATTTGATGTACAGGTGTACATGAATGGAACTCTATTTGTAATAATATTTATCACGAACCATGTTATATTGATTGACCAGTAGTTACCTTTATTTGAGGTGTATGTTAGTTTTACTATGGCCCTGTCTTATAAACATTTGTAGGAGTTTGTAATTTTTTGATTGATTTGAGGACTTGTGGTCAATTTGGATCAATCCCAGCTCTTTCTGAGACAAGGCCTTGGGTTTGAAATATTGTCAATTGACATGTTGTCCCCCATATTATAAACCAACAAATCTGTCCATTGACTGTGAAATGTTACTTCCAAAAGACATTAAGTTGAGACATTTTCAACCAACTGAATCTTTTAAAAATGATGAATCTCATATCAAAGTATGTATTCAGAGCAAAAACTGAATTTTAAAACCTCAAATTGATGGACTGTTAGTTCATAAAAGCGCTGACGATTTATTCATTACTTGTATTCCATCCATCAGATTAATTGATGCTTACATGATACATTACTAACTGTTTTTGTCAGGTAAACAGTGAGAGTTTTCACCAAATGTTATACCTCTTTAGATAATGGAAGGAGGTTGAAATTTCAAGATGTTATTCATTTCATCCAGGAGTATGACTTCTGCAATCTCACATGCCCCCTCAAACTCACTCTCTCTCTCTCTCTCTCTTTCTCTCTCTCTCTCAATAAAGGAGGTAAGCAGCAGAAAAACCCTGAAATGGGGGAGGGGGAAGGAGGGGGTTGGCAGGAGGAAAAGTAATGCTATCATGTTATTCTCTTTTTTCTCCTTTACCTCTGTTTCCCCGCCTGATTTTCCTGTGTCTATTTAAAACATTTGTGGCTTACAATTAATTATGTTGTCTTTTTAACTAGTTATCTATTTGTTTATTTGCAGGTATGAAAAGGTGCTATTTATTTCCGTCTTTGAATAACAATATAGTAATGCTTTGTGGAGTCTGTGTGATCTTGATTCAACATCATGCTTTATTAATAAAAACAAATTTTTCTCTCATTTCACACATTCTGTATTTATGTGGAGTATATCTTGTCCAAAGTAGCCTGAAATGCCCCATCAGGGCCCTGCCTTATTGAGAGTTGTTATTGATCTGAATCGATTACTAGTTCTCCAATTAATCGCAAACTTACCATCTCCTGTTTGTTAGTACAGGGTTGCAGTTGATCAAGTTGCGATTCATTTGAATCAATCACAACTCTTTACATGATGCGGACCCTAATCAAGATTCTAGATTTATTATATTCAATACTCGCAATCTCTATGGCTGAATTGTTACTGAATTCACATATTTAAAAAATTTGTAAAAATTTCAAACAGAGTGAACAAAAACAGATCTAAGTAAAATACAATGACAGAAGATAAAGTGTACAACATTTGCAAATTTAAAATGACAATAAAAATTAATCTAGAAATGGGAAACCATGGGATTTTCATTGAAATAGAAACCAGTTGAAAGTAATATAAAAAATATAAAATCAATGAATTACGAAATTGTCCATATAAAGATAAATTCAATCATGACTACAAATTATTTTCACTTGTAAATGAAGAAAATAAACACTCCCCATTTGTTCCAACACACAAAATGACTAACACATTTTGTTTGAAGTGCTTCACTCGGGAGGGTCTTTTTGCTTCAGAGGACCTATGATAATATGCTACCTATAATGTATTTTCGTTAGTGCCCCAAGGGTGAAGGCACTTAGGAGAAAAATGGGAGAGTTATCCGCGGCTACATCATAATCCACTGACCAAACTGCAAATTTGAAATACGCATATAACTAATTAGTAATCTCGTTTTTCAATTATTCATAGTTTTCTTATCATTGGTCCGATTTATTTCAAACTTTCATATGTATGTGTTTCGATTTTTTTTCTGCTTTCATTCCCATTCAAGGGTGCCACGAGACCACTTTGATTGAGGGGAGTAGGGGGGGGGGGATAAAGATGTGGTTGGACAATTTTTTTTGTTCAAAAATGTCCTCATTCGAATTTCCCGATTGGAAGTTAAACAGCGATGGTGGATTGTTAACGTTGGTTACTCAAACTGGAACTGGAGCTCTTGTCCAGCAAACTTTTCTTGGTACCAAGCGTCAACCATCTCACTCTGAGCTACCGTAAACTTAGTCTTCCATGTACCAATCTTGCCTGTTCAAAATGGAAGAAAAAACAAATAACAGAATGGGAAATACAAATATGCAACCATAACGTAAATTATAGAAACGAATGTTCTAGTAATAGCAAACGGGCTCTTTGTTCAGGGGCTTGGGGACCCCGATTTCAAATTTCAAGATCGAAAATTTCGTGAGGGAGCAAATATGTTAATACTTTATTAAAGTTACTAATGAATATTGTAAACAAAATAATTATACAAAATGAGATCTTGAGAAATGCAAGCACATCATCTAGCTGCATGAATATAAGGTTGCAGCTGCTTGGGTATGAGATAGCGGTCATGTTTATTCGTATTTCAAAATCATGGAAAGGGAGGGGGCTTGCAGTCCTCTCAGTCTTTACCTCTAAGTTTAGTTTAAACACAAAAAGAAAATATCAAATTTGAGATAGACCTGCATTTTTCTTTCATCTTCCCGTAGTGTCTAGGCAAGATATATTTATCAAGAGATGTATCACAATATATATATAATTTAGATGATGTCTTTCACCAAATATTGTTTACCGTTTGGATGAAGTGCTCAAGAGAAAATGTGATAAAGGTGTCAATTAAAGGGCTTCTGAAAAGACTTGTCGAACGGAGATACTTGTACATACAAATACGATCACAACCAACTCAAGGCCAATTGAAATACCCTATGGCTAGAATTTTCTACATGCATCATGTTCAGATATCTTTGTACTGTTCGCTCGAAAAATATTCACAAAGATATGCGTCACAACAAAATGTCCTCAATCAAAAGTCAACAATTGGAGTAGACCTACTGCAGGAGAGATGCCTTCTCTTTTTCCCACGTACATGATCGTAAAGACTGGAATAGACTACCTGACAGCATCATCAGTATTGAATTCCTTGACACTTTTAAAACCAAAATGTTAAAATAATTCAAATAAAGATGATCACGTGACCCTCATTTGCGATCTAAATTGACTAGCAAGTCTGTCGACACGTACCGAAGAAGAAGAAGAAGAAGAAGAAGAATATCTGTTTCGAGACGAGAAATATGCAAATGAATACGCTTTAAAAAGAATTTTTCTTTCTATGTACCTGTTTGCATGAAAGACATCTCCTTCTGGCCGCCAGCACGAGTTAAAAAGATCCCTTTCTCAGCCGATTTCTCGAGAGTGTCATAAGTTTTCTTCATTCCCTTGAATTCACTTCCCGCCACCACCTTCTCGAAAACGTCGTCGGTTAGAGGATGTTCAAGCAACTCGGCAACCTTCTTTACACAACTGCGGAGATCCTTGGGATAAATGAAAGGAAAATTATCAGAGCTTCATGAGTAATTAAATCGGAAAACACACAATGATACCTTTTTCGAACGCAGCTGGCCTTCCAAATAAATTTTATGTGTGTAACCTTTGGCAACGAAGTATTAATTACACTGGACGGCAAAAGGTCGACAAGTTACTTGGATAAAGAGATACTTTGATGAAGGAAATACAAGTAAATGGAACATGTTTTTTTTCACATTATCTGAGACATATAGGAGGTGATTTTTTTTTATTTAGCGGCAATCTCCGCTCTGATTATTTATCTTTCAATAAATACGCAGATCCTTTCTGGAATGATATATTGATTGCATGGAGTCAGTAATACAACAGCCCAATTAATTTCAAGGAAAATATTTCACAACCACCTTGCCTGAATTCTCATATATTGATCGACGGAGAATTCTGATATGACATAATCAATTATGTTAAAGATATTTTGCACATTGATGGTCCTATTAATTATGTCTCTTGATCAAATCCGAAGTCGAATGGACTTTCTGTCAGGTTCATTTATTTTAACTAACACTAGTCAGTTCTTTCCGCATTACTTAGTACTTAGTTGGAAATTATTCTGAAACATGAACATTTTGAAAAAGAAGGTTCTTCACTAAATTGCGTTGATACTTCATTGAACGATTTCTGTAAACTTAAAAAGATATCAAAAAATTCGTACCATGTTTTCATGAAAAGAAAATTCAGCAAATGTCTCAGAAAAAAAAATCAACAGAATAAATGGCAAAGTGATTTACGATTCACTAATATGTAAATCCTGTTTTACCTTGCTATATCAATAAATATCAATAAAAAGTAAAATGAGAAATTTCAGATTTCAATTTATTCATAGAAAAATTGCAACCCAAAATTTTCTTTATAAAAAAGGTGCAAGTGCTTCTTCAATTTGTAATTTTTGTGGAAATCATGAACAGACTTTAGCTCATTTATTTTCAATTTCAATTAGAACTAAAATTTACTTTTGGACTAAAACTAAAGTTATAAATCTTAAAATACTTTCGCCCAGTATACAGTGCGTTTTTGTAGTTTATTCCATTTATTAACACATATTTCTACTTGGTTCCTTCATTGTTTAAAACAAAGAATTTACCATGACCATGTCCTCGTATTTTAAGAAAAGAACATTCTTTTCATCTCGCTTATTCCAGTAGTCCATCACGTGATTAAACCATCCACCCAAGTTATCTATGGATATAGGAAAGAGAACATACATTACATTTGATTAGATTTGGTTTGATTTAGACTGATTAATTAGTTTATATAACGTCTTTTCAGATATACATTTTCATGCTTATGAATATGCAATTGATAATATTTGACGAAGTATAAAAGACCTACACCAGTAGGAAACGTGTGAAATCAAGTTAGAGGCTAAATGCATGTTAGACATGAATTAAGAACAGGAGTGCCACAGCTTATGTATGAATCTTAATGTGACATTGACTGTTATTGGGGTGTGTGAAAGGAAGAGAAAAAGTGACTTGCAAAGAAGGAAAAATAAAACTCCGAGGAGAAGCAACGCTGTTTTTCTCAATTCATGAATAATGACTATTGTATTTCACAATATGGTATTTATACTTTAACTTCAAGTGAGAAAAAGATGGGGGGGGGGTGGGGACAAACATGTTGGGGCCAGTGAGGGTGTTTTCAAATCGGGGAGGGATACTATTGCTATTTGGGGAAGGAAAAAAGGAAAGGGTATTTCCTTTCCAATATCTTTAATAGTTAGCGTGGTTTCATAACCTACGTTCCACGTCCCAATGGTGGCACGTCGCATTGACCAAGCAAACGTCCCTCTTTTTTAAAGAGAAATTGTCATGACTTCGTCAGTGACTGGCCTGTTAACTGATGCGCCATACTATGAGAGCAATATATCCTACACAATAATTACACAAAGTGAATTAAAAATGAAAGAACAGTGCAAGCTTTGCTTTGAAGTAATTATGGCCATTACACTAATTGCCACGATCTATAGAGTTGATTGACCGAGGTAATAAAGCAAACGAATTGAAGTCTCGCATGCAACGGGGGTCAACTTACCACCATTCATCAGGTCATCCAGGAGTTTGGGGAAGCCCCCCGGTACAGGCATGGTTTTCTCGATGAATTTCATCGTTGAAGTCGCCATGTCCTTGGGATTACGTGCCACGTACAACACCTTTTGACAAACAAACAAAAACAAAATTATTATTGTACTTTTGGTCAAATGTATCATCTCTATCACGATCACCGTCGTCGTCGTCGAAGCACTAGAGACGGGGGTGTTCGTTTGTTTGTTTTTATTTCCGTCATATAAAAAGAATATACACTGTTGGTCATAATGGTGGAATAATTATTTTTACCCCAGTTTAGGGAAGGATTTTAAAAAATTATTTATTTCTAATAGATCTAGATAATGGCATACATTCTCAGATTTTATTGAATATTAATTTGCGAGTGTTTGTTTTGCGTGACTGTTAAATCATATGTGTGCTACTATGCTAATCAGCTAAGGGACTTACGTCCTTAAGTCATAATTGACAGTAATGAGGATTAATGCCTCACAAAAGGGTACTAATATATAGCTGATCGACACGATTTTTATCCTGGTGCCTCACAGTAACGAGGACATTGCTTAGCCCCTGAATCATGACTGTACGCAGTGTTTGCTAGGGTACGCGGCCGCCCCACAAATCCCCGAAAACGAAGAAAATGCAATAAATTGTCAACAATTCATTGCATTTGCCCCCGGCCCCCAACAGGAAAAATTCCTCTGTGTGGCCATGCCTTGAACCATAATGCATGGCCCTACAGAGGAATTTTTCCTGTTGGGGGCCGGGGGGAAATGCAATGAATTTTTGACAATTTATTGCATTTTCTTCGTTTTCGGGGATTTGTGGGGGCGGCCGCGTACCCTAGCAAACACTGCGTACAGTCATGATTCAGGGGCTAAGCAATGGCCTCGTTACTGTGAGGCCCCAGGATAAAAATCGTGTCGATCAGCTATATGAGTGCCCTTTTGTGAGGCATTAATCCTCATTACTGTCAATTATGACTTAAGGACGTAGGTTCCCTAGCTGATTAGCATAGTAGCACACCTATGATTTAGCAGTCACGCAAAACAAACACTCGCAAATTAATATTCAATAAAATCTGAGAATGTATGCCATTATCTAGATCTATTAGAAATAAATAATTTGTTTAAATCCTTGCAAAGTACAGCTGGCCTTACATGAGGACAGGGGAAAAAGAAGAAGAAGCATAATGTCATTCTACAGAAGACCGCGCCCTACGTCATCAAACAACAATTCTTACTTTTGCTCTCTTCTCAATCTCTGGTGGTAGACTTTGAAAGGGAAGATGGCTGATGATGAGACGAGGGGACGGTGCTTTCTTTATCATGTCAAGTATAGGCGGTTGGTTACGAAGATAATCTAGAGGTTGACCTTGAGGTTGATCATCAGGTGGAGGAGGCAGGAAGACAGGCATTGCTACGGTACTCATACCGGTGAGTCGGTTAATCTTGTGGGGGTTGCCATCACCGAGGATGAGTGCAACGATCTCCATAGCGAAATGGGTGCCTTTGAAATAATAATGAAACAACGGATTATCTTTAGCTTTAAATTTCTGATTCACTAAAACTCATTATGACAGTTAATAATGAGATAATTGTGTGGTATGAATAGTATCCCCATATCACGATGGCATAGACTTTCGAAAAATCGTATCGTCATGCCCCTTTTGAAATATGCAAACATGACGATGACAAAGTCATATTGCGTAATCTGATCATGGTTTCTATAGGCACTACAGTAAGCAATTACAATAAGCCAGTTGGTAATTAGGATTTGCGCATGGGCAGATAAAGGTCATTCGTACCCAAATTGTAAAACCATTGAGACGAATACTCGGATCGTGCTCATGAAATTTATGTAATCAGTATTCATTTAAGCACCAACAGTACATTTATCTGATACACAGGTGGAAGTATTCTTCTCAAGAGGTAAACAAAAGGTATTCATGAAGCACCTCCATCACTTTGGCAGTGATTAATCTAAAATGCACAAGTGGGAAGTATCCATCGTGTCTAAGATCTGTGGATATTTTGGGGTCAAGCGGTCCAGAGCTATTTACGAAATCGCTTATTGCAATCGAGTTGATTCTTTTTAAAGTCTTGGCGATCGTGTTTACTCAATTATTCTTATAATTTCTTCATTCATACTTCAAGTATTCGGATTTTGTTTCAAGTCATGAGAAGTCATTCGCCACAATGGGATGCCACAATGGGTAGCGGATACAAGATTTTCTTCGAGGGGGAGGGAGGGGGGCGGGGGAGGTCACGAGATAGAAAAGCACACATACATGCACATTTTGGGGGTCTTTGAAAAGTTTAATGATGGCGCAATTGAAATACATGGTAGCAGTGGTAGCGATGTCGGTAAAATATCCAACCTTTATTTTGTGCTTTCTTAAATGTTGATTTTTCGCTTGTTGCATCTGAGAAATTTCAGTTTTCGCAGTAAAGGTTTTTGGAGAGAAAAAATGCTCCTGAAAATCTGTGAGAACTTTTTTGTACTATTTTTTAAACATTTTCCCTCCATTTTTTGCTTGCCAAGGATGTAGCGGAAGAGAATCCTGGATACGCCTTTGGATCACCTGCATGTTATGTGTGGTCGCATCGTTATCTTTGATTTGGGCACATAAATAGCGTTTTTTCCTTCCAAAAAAGGCAACAAAAAACTGAAACTGAAAGATTACGATCTCCCCCCCCCCCCCCCCCCAAGAAAAAAAAAATAGAAGAAGAAAAATAAGAGATGAAGTTGTTAAGAATCGATAATGCTTACCCGCCTTGGGATACGTGCAGACCCACACGTCATCGGGTCTGACGTCGAGTGTCTTCAGTTCATCAAGGCTTTCTCTCATGACGATGTCGGGAAACGTGACGCCATCGTGCACGAAGCGACCCATAACATCGACGAATGGTTCCCCTCCATCCTGCTCGGCCATCTCAAATGGAGATAACTGATTCGCTTTGATTTGAATTGATTTATTTGATTTTATTTGGTTTCGTTAAGGGTTCGAATCCAAGCTCGGCACCCTCGTAATTGGCAAGATTTAATGGAGCTCTTTCAAATCTTGGTACTGTACATGACTAAGACTTTGACAAAGTCCCCTCCAATATTATTATAAAATATACTATAAAAGTAGAAATCCATTTTTAGGAGACTTATTAGGGATTACATCAATACGGAGTGGAATTCACACTCAAACGAGTATTTAAAACCACTACATGGGGTGGATTCCACTCCGAAACGAAGTGATCCGTAATATTTGAATTTGGATTTATTCATTTCACATGCTCGAATGTATACAGAAAACAAACTATGTAATGAAATGGAGGATATAAGTACATATGGAAATAATATTATTAAAAAAGTGCAATAGTTTAGTCACATCATTGACAATAGAACAAATTTGAAATTTGAACTTTATTGGACATAAGACTATTTCTATGTGACATGTGGAAATATGACTCCTGGAAGAGTGTGTATATTTCCACTCCTCTACTTAAAGAAGTGATGATCTACCCGGTGCATATTTCTTTACATGGACAAAAAATTGTTTGAGACCTAGATTAAAAATGCAAACTTTCAAGAGCGAAATAATAGATAAGAGTTTACGATTTTCTTTGTTTCAAGTTTTGAACGGATCAGCCTTATCTCAATGGTATACATCATAAATGTATATACCACACAAACAAAAATTACCCGACATAAATAGGAAACATTGGCATACTTACTGTGAAAGATGTACTGTGTCAGTGAGGTGGAATGATCGAGCGTTTTTTACCCGTTCACATGACATATCCTACGTACATAAATGCACGATCACATAGCCACTTGACCTGGTGTGAATCGAATGAGTCAACTAGATTCTTTGATTCGTACGTATACTATGAACTAGAATAAACATTGAATAGTTTGAATAAACAGTTCAGAGTTCAGTTTGCATTGTTTGTTTAAGATTAAGTTTGTTTGAGATTATGGGGCGCCTTGTGACACGATGTGTAATTTCGTCACCAAATCACTCCAAAAAATTGATTTTGTCACAACAGCAATCTCACAATGTGATTTGTCACGAAATAATCTCAAAGAGTTTCATTGGCAATTTCGCATTGCTCGGTAGTATTACTTCCTTGTTTTATTTTAATTGTGATGAAACAATCGTATCAAAATAAAAGAAAATGATAAGACATGCGTCATATCGTCACGTTTTTAAGATACATGTATGCTTCATTTAGCAAATATTTCCATCTATGGTATGGTTGCAATATCATCTTTCCCCTTATATATCTCATATTTACCCATTTCAATGTCAAATTTCTAAGTTTACTTTTAACATATTCGTGTAAATTTTGAGAGAGAAAACAAATCAGTACTCTCTTTTCGGTTTTCGTTGAAAACATTAATTTCCTTCTTAAAATGAGTCGAACATCGCAAAGAAAATTAAATAAAGCAAACTCTGGCTGTCACACATATTTACATTAAAGTCTCAGTAACATTGTTGAAGGTTGATTAAAAAAATTGCGTAATTTTTGTATGAAATGTTACTTATTATCTTCTTTCTACTATACTTATCTTCTAACATGCAAAAAATCCTGAAAAATTCTCAAACCACGAAGATATTAATGGTTTTCTAGGAAGACGTCACAGTGCAACGCCCTCTTAAAGTGATTAACAGTAAATTCTCCCAACCATTTTTGAATTTTCCCAACCTTTTTTCCCATGAAAATAAGACAAAAGACAGGCTTTAAAAATATTTCAACACTTAAATGTCTGGAATGGTATATAGAGCCAATTCATTGCTTTGTGACGATTTACATTCACCTAAAATGTAATTAAATTTTAATATAGTGGGAGAATTAAGGTATCCATCAGATCAGTTTTCCCAATTTTTAATGGGTTATAATGGACCTTTAATGATACATCTAGCATTGAAGTCACTACCTTAGCACCATTTTCTCTCATCTTTAAAATGTTACCAAGTCCCTTTAATATCACAGAATTAACTCGTCTAACTTTTTGTATTTTATATTACTCGATTGCTAAGAAGACATGTGTATGATTGTAAGTAAGTATACTAACTCTCTCTCTCTCTCTCTCTCTCTCTCTGTCTCTGTCTCTCTCTCTGTCTCTCCATCTCTCTCTCATTCTCTCCCTCTCTCTCTCTCTCTCTCTCCCCTCTCTCTCTCTCTCTCTCTCTCTCTCTCTTTTTGTCCCTATTTCTCTTCGCCTTAATTTCTGTGATTAAAATTGATCAACAATTCAATCGGTGCAAGTATTACATTTCGTTCATTTTGACCTGCTCCCTTGTATGAGAAGAGACATTGACCAATTAATAATAATTAATAATCATAACATTTTTATTATAAATCATACCATAGATTTCACACACTTCAATTGAAGGTTTTATCCTCACAGCCGTTCCGTTGGCTAAATTACAAATAATTTACAACATCGATTAAAAAACATACAATGAAAATGTACATGCTAAAAAATGATGATAATATATAACATGAATATGATTAACTTCAATGTATATTAATTATAGAGGTGTCGTATTCGAGTGCAATGGTCACCGTGGTCTAGGCATCGTGCGTTACAACATTAAAATCTATAAAAAGATCACTGCGCACGCATGCCGAGTAGCCGAGAAGCATGTTTCTCCTAATAAATTGTGATACTGGTTAATTAATTATATCATTAACAAATTTTATTTTCGGTTTTCTTGATGGATAACTGATTTTCTTATAAAACTGAAGATATGGCGTAAATATTCAATACTGAATGAACGCAATTAAACTATTACCAACAACAACAATTCGAGTGGTTTAAACAAAATGCAAAGGTCATGAGTTTGAGCCCCGGCCCGGCATTTGGGTCCTTTGTGCAAGGCATTTTATCCACTTTGCTCCTCTCCACCCAGGTGTCAATGGGTACCCGGTAGGATGCGAACGTCTTTACGGTTAGATTAGCACGTGCGTGCCCTTAAAAAGGGGACTAGCTGGAATGTTCCCCAGGGAGTGGAGAAAGTGCACTGTAATGTGCAATATAGTGATTGAACCCTTTCACTGGGGTAACTGCATGTGTTTTGGTCACTTGTACCTGGTAAAGCACTTTATAAGAATCCGTTATTATTATTATATAGTTTAACATCTTTCATAAATTCATAGATATAGTTTTTTCATAAATGGGACCGTCATGAAATAGATGATTGAAGATGTTATCATCTCGAAGAAAGATTGTTTTAATTAAAATTGAATATTGTAAATGAATACAAATTCAAAACAGAAATATGGCTTTTAAACATTCGTAGCATACAAAATAAGAGGATAGTTCAGTGTAATAAACTACATTATCATAACTATCGAATACAACCATTGTTGATGTTCTTAAAACTGAATTAAATTAAAATTTTCTAATCATTTAAAAATAAGTTTTAACATGATCGCAAAAGCTTTTGAAAAATCAACCTAAGGCTATCTAAACAGCCTTGCCCATCACATATTAAGTATATGAACTTTACAATGACGCATTAGGTAATGCGAATATGACTTCAACAGGATGCACAATAGCGTATTGAAAGTCATTGCGATCTGGTTTTTTATAACTAAATTATTCAAACTGGAACTCCAAATCGCAACCGGCAAACTTGTCCTGGTACCATTTGTCGAATGCTTCGTTCTGGGCCACAGTAAATCTTTCTTTCCATGACCCGATCACACCTGGAAAATTATGCAATTTTAAAAATAGAAAAATACGGGGAAAATACGAGTCATTTGTGATAATGTGGTTGTCCGTTATGGTAAAAAAAAATATGATCCTACGCAAACCATGACACTTATTTTTCTTCTTCTATCACTAGTACTACTTTTTTCTTCTTCTTTTCATTCTTCGTCTTCTTTTTTTCTTCTTCTTCTCATACTACCACCACTACTACTACTACTACTACTACTACTACTACTACTACTACTACTACTACTATTACTACTACTACTACTACTACTACTACTACTACTACTACTACTACTACTACTACTACTACCACCACCACCACCACCACCACTACTACTACTACTACTACTACTACTACTACTACTACTACTATTACTACTACTACTACTATTACTACTACTACTACTACTACTACTACTACTACTACCACTACCACTAATACTACTTCTACAACTTCCACTCCTACTTCTTCTTCTTCTTCCTGTTTTTTTAAATAACGACACAAGAAAAACGTAAACACGATTGTTATGAAATATAGAAGGCCTAATCAACACACCTTTCTGCATGAAGGGCAACTGACCAGCGGCTTTGGTAAGAAATTTACCCTTGTCCGAAGCTTTCTCAATCTTGTCGTATGTCTTCTTCATACCCTCGAAACCACTCTTTGTCACCACCTTCTCCAGAATCTCAGGTGAGAGAGGGCGCCCTAGAAGCTTTCCGACTCTTTGAGCGGCCTCTGCCGGGTTCTTAGGATGGTCAGTGGAAATTTTTGGGAGAAAAAAAGGGAAAACTGTCTGTTTGAGCTTCTATGAATCATGCCAATCTTAAAGTTCAGCACATCATTGTTTTCACTCCTGTGAATGGCTGTAGGACACATTAATCATGTAAATAGTTTGCGACTCGCCGGGTGACCTCGGAAAGGCTTGTTTTGGCTCCTGCCACACTTAAAGTTTAGCTTAAGATTTTGCGCAGTCATGTGGCCGGTTGTTCGACACATATACACCGGCGACAATTTCTCCGCAGTATTATTAGCCGCCTTCCTAAATTCAGACCTACACCATGGACCCTACCATGCCTAAACTAACAACCTGTTCTTAGCACTTACCTTTAATCCTATACCTAACCTCAATACCAAATGCAAAAACAAACCTTATATTATATCTTTGAATTTAGACTGCATGGACCAAAATGTCACTGGTCGTTGGAGCGAAAATATCGGATCCACTTGTTGACTTTCAGAAGAAAAAAAAGGATTTCTATGATATTGTTATTATCTCATTGTCTATTTTTGTTCTCTCTCCATCTCATATTTTCTTCCTATTCTTCATTTGTATATTCTCTCCCATATCTCTCGCTCTCTCTCTCTCTCTCTCTCTCTCTCTTCTTTTAATCATGCGTATCAAATAAAATCATGTATACGATTTCATTTATTCTAACAAATGTGGAAAGAGGATAATATGAACCATTTTCATTTCTTCGAAAGTCAAAAAGAGAACGTTGTCTTCCTTTCGCTTTTTCCAGTATCCCATCACGTGATCAAACCAGGGACCAAATGAGGTGGCTGGAGAAAAAGATGAATAAAAAAGAAAGAAAGAAAGAGGTAGATAAAGAGAGAAAGACATACAAGTAAAGAGGGGGAGAAAAGAGTAAACGGAGGAAATACATTTTCGTTTATCAAGAATACAATGTCTTAATTTTATCATCCTTTGTGAAAAAAATATCAATTTCGAAAATTAATAGATAATGTTAAAAGGGATATCGTCGGACAGCATTACCAATACCTAACAGTGGAAACTGCCGACAATTCCGCCAAAATGGAAGGAAGTATTCATTTATGTTTTATTGACAAATCTCACAAGTAATGTAAGGGTGAGTACATGGTCATATGACGTCGATGGTTTTCTCTACCTTAAACCATATATCACAAGAAATTAATAATAAAAAAATGTGGGCATTAAGTGATAACCTTAATCTGCGGTTTTCTCCAGGCCATACAGATCTACAACTTCACAAGCCGAACATAAGTATTACCAATATTTGCTTATTCATAATAATACTGCTTACTTCCATTCATCGTGTCCATGACCATTTGGTCGAAGCCTCCTGGATAGGGGACGGTCTTCTCTACGAATCGCATTGTAGATGCTATCATGTCCTTAGGATTACGGGCCACGTAGATAACCTATTCATTGAAGAAAAAAATAAAGTTAACAACTAACAAACTAACAAACAAACAAACATGCAAACAAATAATACAAGTTAAAGGTAAAGACCAGTTATGGTCATGCGATTGCATTGTGAAAGAAACGTTGTGGAATCGATCAGAAAAGGTTGATCATCTAGCATCTAGCATCTGCAAGGTTCTGGAATCATCAAAATGATAAGAAATTTGGCCCATTCTTCGTAAAGTTACAAGCACTATACACAAAAAGATGTATATGGGACTACCCTATATCTCTCATAGACCATGAGAGAAACAAATTTACCAAATATATGAATTAGTAGGCGGTTTCCCGGCAAATTTTTTATCATCATGTATTAGTCGAAACATATTCTTTCACATGATTGGTAATGAGAGCTTCCATTTCATTTTTTGAAATTGGGGCGTTTCATAAACTGGTCTTTACCTTTAACAGAGTTTTCTATCAGTGATTTCAATTACAGTTTATTTCTATAAAATCACTGGTGTATGGGCACTATTTTCATAAGGAGGCTGACGTCTTTTGCCTAAAATAAAACTCCAGTGTAACGAGCAGGCGAAATGAGCGAGCGAGCAAAAGAAAAAGCAAACAGAAAACATAATGAATATTAAGCTGTTTATACCAAAGTCACTATATTTCTTTGTATCTATCCGTTCATCCATCTCTGTCCGCACTCTGGTCTATCCAGGCGGCCGATAAGGGGGGAGGTATGGGGGGGGGGGGGGGTAATTCATCTTTTTTTCACATTCCTTTATTTTCATGTTCCGTCCGCTTTTCCTTTATTTCCCTCTTTTTTTCCTCCGCCGATAGATGCGGCATGTACCCCTCCCCTGTTATCCATGCCACTGCTTTAAGCCCTGGATAATACCTACCCTAGCTCTCTTCTCGATGTTTGGTGGGAGAAGCTGGAAGGGCAAATGACACGCTATCTTTCTCGGAGAGGGGGCCTTCTTGATCACATCAATGAATGGCATGGGGGCAAGCGGGGGCTGTGCTTCATCGCCCTGTTGCTGGGCGTCAACCGTGAATGGGCGGTCCACGGTTACGATGGAGATGGTTGCTAGGTGAGTTGTTCGGTCGATCTTCATTGGATCGCCGTCTGCCAGGATGAGGGATGTCATTTCCATGATGAAATGTGTACCTGTGGGGCGCAAATAGAAACAGAACTAATTTATACATGCGCTGTACTTAAAATTTCTATATTTATCTAGGTAAAATTAAATTATCGTTTTATACATAGACACGACCATGACATATATAAAATTGCTAACTTCATTAGAAAAACAAAATATCAATGAAAAAACGAAAAAGACAATTTAAACTATCGATGTTAATGTAGAGATGGATAAGTTTATAACAAATATCGCCATTGTCAAGCAAAAATGTACCCTTGTGTTTTTGAGGTATTATGTTGACTTAAATTCTAATTAATCACTGGCAAAATTGAATTGATAATTATATCACTAATGACAGAATTAGGATAATTATTTAGTAAAAGAGAAGTGTCTAGAAGAAGTGTGTTTAATTGCGAAGGGGAAGAGAAAATCAAGGTAATGCAGAAGAAGAAGAAGAAGAAGAAGAAGAAAGAGAAGGAGGAGAAGGAGGAGGAGAAGAAGAAGAAGAAGAAAAAGAAGAAGAAGGAGGAGGAGGAGGAGGAGAGAAGAAGAAGAAGAAGAAGAAGAAGGAGGAGAAGAAGAAGAAAAAGAACGAGGAGGAGGAGAAGAAGAAGAAGAAAAAGAAGAAGAAAAGCAATGTGAATGAAGACATCTTTTATTGCAAAATGATTACGAGAAGATAAAATCGAGAAAGGAAATTAAATTGGAAGGATTAATATGCAAATTTATCGATTCATTCAAGAGTTTAAAAAAATATGTAAAGTTAACAAGGAAAAGACCGGAAATCACCTGATTTTGGGTAGGTGCATACCCAGATGTCATCTGGCCTCACTTCGAATGTCTTGAGCTCATCTAGACTAGATTTCAGGACTATTTTAGGCATCCTCAAGCCTTCGTACTCATGAAAGTCAAAGAGTCCGGGCATTTCAGGATTTTGGGTCATTCCAGCCGGTAGCGCCATTCTGGAAATAAGATAGAAGAAAGTTTGTTGAATATAATACATTGTGAGCTTTAGAGTTGACCAAACTCCATCAATTTCAAGGAAGAAAGCTCGGAAAGTATTCATGTATGATAAAGCTGATACAACTGGCATGCGTGCAGATCTCCTCAAGTTTCAGTCTTCTTTCCTACGTAGCAGCCCAGAACCTAGAACAGTACAGCAGAACTGGGATGACTTCAAAACAGAGATTGGAGACCTCATGGAGAGTTACATTCCAACAAAGGTGTCTGGAAAGAAAAGAACCAGTCCCTGGATCACAAACACCATAAAGAGAGGAGTCAGAAGAAAGCAAAGACTGTACAATAAAGCTAAAGCTTCAAAAACACCAGATGATTGGCTTAAGTACAAGAATTATTAGAAAGAATTAAGATCTCAACTTCGTCATAACTACTGGACTTATCAAAACAAGATGTTCTCTCCTGATGACAAGAACAACAAAACATTCTGGAAGTTCATCAAATCCAGAAAGCAAGAGTCATCTGGAGTTGGATCCCTCAAGTGTGGTGAAACGCTTGTATCAGACAGTAAAGGGAAAGCAACTGCACTGAACGACCAATTCCAATCAGTTTTCACACTGGAGGATAACTCGAACATTCCGGATCTTAGACAACCCGTGTTTCCTTCAATGGATCGCATTGAAATCTCTGTGGAAGGCATTGTCACGCAACTGAAAGCTATAAATGTTAGCAAAGCCACAGGACCAGATGGCATACCAGGAACGATCTTGAAGTTCTTTGCTGAAGACATTGCACCGATCCTGACCTTTATCTTTCAACAATCTCTAGATACAGGAACAGTACCATCTGACTGGCGTCTTGCAAACATCTCACCAATTTTCAAGAAAGGAGACAGGAGCAAGGCCTCCAACTACCGCCCTGTATCAATCACGCCCATCTGCAGTAAACTGCTCGAACATGTCATTTTCATCAATATCATGGATCACTATGACGAAAATAATATTCTCAATGATGTTCAGCATGGCTTTCGTCCTGGCCATTCATGTGAGACCCAGTTGATCATTACATCTCAAGATGTTGCACACTCTCTAGACCAGAAAGAGCAAGTTGATGCAGTTGCAATAGACTTCTCCAAAGCCTTTGACCGTGTACCCCATAACCGCCTCCTTCATAAGCTCTATCACTATGGGATCCATGACAACCTTATCAGATGGATCAGGGTGTTCCTAACTGAAAGGTTACAACGTGTTGTTGTAGATGGAGAGTCATCTGAATGGGTTCCAGTCACCTCTGGGGTACCGCAGGGCACAGTTCTCGGCCCACTTATGTTTATATCCTTCATCAATGACATAGTAGATGGGATCTCTTCCAAAATCCGACTCTTTGCTGATGATTGTCTTCTATACCGTCCGATCACTGATGTCACTGATAGCCAAGCCCTACAACAAGATCTCAACAGGCTGCATTCATGGGCTAACACATATGGCAGATGAAATTCAACACCGAGAAATGCTACCACATCACATTCTCCCTACGTCGGAAAGCCATCACCACGACATACACGCTAGGAGACACTCCTCTTGCGTTGGTAACAGATCTCCAGTATCTAGGATTGACTTTCTCATCCAACTTGTCCTGGCAAGGCCACATGAACAACATCACATCCCGAGCCAATCGGATGCTGGGACTAGTCAGCAGAAATCTCCGCAAAACCTCACAAAAGATCCGCCAACAAGCCTACTTCTCTCTTGTTAGACCTCATCTGGAACACTGTTGCTCGGTCTGGAACCCTCACACAAACAAGCATAAGCCAAAATCGAGGCAGTACAAAGGCGAGCAGCAAGATTCACCCTCCAGAGATATCGTCGTATGGCCAGTGTCTCGGTCATGATTCAACATCTGAAATGGGAGAGCCTGGAGAGGAGAAGAAATGCCGAAAGCCTCCACCTCATGTACAAGATCCAAAACGACACAGTAGCCATCAATGCACACCATTACACAGCACCCATGATTGCAAGCAACACACGACAGTATCACTCAAAGAAGTTGCTGGCTATCCCATCCCGCACCCAGCTCTACCAGAACTCATTTTTCCCTCAGACAGTAACTGCGTGGAATGCACTTTCAAAGATCACCCTTGACGCTACTTCACTGGAGGGCTTCAAGGGAGCGCTTCCACCAAGCATCTAGACCAAGAACTAGATAGTTTATTCCTCAGCACTACATCCTGACTTTTGGATCCTGCTGAGTATCGTCGTAGAAGTAGAAGTAAGCAACAAGCCATTATGGAATTACTGGTAAAAATTCTTCATTAATGACGTCATAACGATGATAATTTGTTTCCAAATGGAAATATTGGTATCATGACAATCATGTTCAGGCATCATCGGTCGCAAATCCACAATGAAGATAGAAATTGTTTCATCCATTAAATATTGATACAGAATTAAAATTGCATTTCTTTTCCTTAAAATTGACTGGGGGTGGTTATCCGGGGGGTGGATGTCCAGGGGGTAGGTATCCTAGAACCATTAACCAGTATTATGATATTAAGTATTATCTATACGACTCTATCTTTTGCGTGCTTACACTCTAAAAATAGACACGTGTTTAGCTATTCCTAAAACATATTATACTTAGACAAACAGGTAAAGTAGGTAATTACTTGGCAAAAAGTTATTTCATATAGGCCTACTATGTTTACAGAAACAGTTTTATGTATAAGATCAATTATTGTTTATGGCATGGCTGTATGAACTGGATCCACTTAAATATATCCTTTAAAAAATATCTATCATAAAAATAGCAATTGAAATTTGGAATAACTGCAGAATACCCAATCATGTAAGTAACCCTAAAACACACACTGACCCTAATCCTAACACTAACACTAATCCTATCCCTGACCCAACCTCAATCACAATCCTATAACCCATCTGTAATCCTAGTTTTTAATCGAAATGCTTGATATTATTGTAAATTTATCTACATGTAGTGTTTAACTTGGGATTATATATTAGTCGGCATTAGGAACTTCTTGACGTTTTATTATAATAAAATGAAGCGCCAAGCATGTTCCTTTTTTTTTTCTTTCTTCGAGAGCAACGATGAGCGTCACTTTGTACTGAATTGAACACTTTACTTGAAGTATAATTAGCCCAACTGTCTATTTCATGACACAAGTACGTACACTCTAAGAAAAAAGGGTGCAAAATAAGAGTTTGCACCTTTTACATAAAAATGAACCCTATTGAAGGAAAAGGGGTTCAGAAAAGGGTGCAATATACGATGTTGCACCCTTCCCACAAAAATAAACCCTATCGACAAAAAACGGTGCAAAATAAAAGTTTGCATATGCATGCATATTCATGATTACTTTACACGTGTTCACATACGAGTACATTTATCATGATTTGTTAAGCAAATTATGACAATACACATCAAGTTTGTGATTTCTATTTTCCTTCAGCAATCATTAACCACTAGATTATTTTGTCTGATCATGTTACAATTACATTCACGTTTTAGCAATAGATATATTGATTATATGATTACTAATCAAGAAACAACATGCATGTTTAATATGTATTTGTGTACGAGCAAATTTCATGAGTATTCCTCGAGTATGGGTGCAGGATTGCACCTTTTAAAGGGTGCAGGATTGAACCCCTAAAGGTGCTGTTATTGCATAGGTTTGCACCCTAATGGAGCAGGATTGAACCATTAAGGGTACTAACATGTCTCGTAAAAGGTGCAATCTGGCACCCTCCTAAAGGGTGCAGGATTTAACCCCTAAAGGTGCTGCCAGTGTTGCATCGGTTTGAACCCCTAAAGGTGCATACACTGTAAAAAAGAATTTGTTCATTGGTAATTTTTACGTATTTTTTCCATGTAGAATTTACTTGAAAACATTAGTTTTGCCACTTACGCACTAAATTTAAGTCTTGCTAACTCAAACTTTCAATTTAGTAGAACATACGTGGAATATTTAAGTAAAATCAAATACATAAGAACTTTAAGTAATTTCAGCTTGTATTAATTTAATAATTTTAACTCAAAATCAGAAATTATACGTATTACTCAAACAATTAATGTTGATTATTCTTATCTTTTTAAAGTAAGGACCGATGCAGTGCGTAATAGAAATATTTACATAATTCATGAATATTCATTAAGACCAAATTAAACTCTTTTTTAAATAAAACAATTATTTTTTGTGGTTGAATGAAATTTTAAGGACTTTAAAACATTTACTAATTCATTTAACATGGCTAAGCAAAGACAAGACAATTTTTAATTGTTACCCAGTTTAAAACAAATCAAAACTTGATATTTCAGGAAATTGTCAACCAATTTTCCTTTTAAAGGGATCGTTTAACAATGTTAAATCTGAGATACACGGCCCTACGTGTTATCAGTGTCTGTGATATGGTGTAATATTGAAGCCCTAAAAAAATTGCGCTTCAAAACGATCAAGAAGTGCCTCAAAAAAGTAAAAATCTTTGAGTGACCGGTTTTACCATACTCGTTTTCCCCAATAGTCTGTAGTGTTATGAAAACCGTCAGGCGAACGGTTTTCAAAATTTGTAATTCCAATCATAAATATCTTGATAATCAAACAGGCGATCGGCTTGTAAAAGTCATGGGGCTCCTGACTGACCTTAAGGTTTATAATTATCGTTGCATCATGAGCTAAATCCAGAATTTTATTTCAGAATCTGAGACAAAGTTACCGGATCCCTTTAAGATGCTACGATCAAGTATATATAAAATTTGGAGCATTTCAATATGTGTCGAATTGAAGCGTATGTAATAGTTTGTGATGGTGGTAGATATATATATGGTTAAATCTTAAATAGAAGTAGTGTTAGTGATTAGTGATTAATCTTAAATAGAAGTAGTGAATGATTAGCGGATGTTACTTGTTAGATTAGATGGATACCAAATCGTGCAATATGTAATCCTATCATAGCTTTTTTTTAATTATCTAAAATGATTACAATACTTAAATTATTTACGTTAATGTAACTCGATTTAACTGAGTAAAAATTTATTCAGCAAAATAAGTAAATTCTACTTAAGATGCCGTAGGTAATATTTACTTAATAAAAATAAAGCAATTCTTTTCCTCAATTTTATTGAGTTATTTCGACTATTATTTTTTTACAGTGTACCTGCACCATTTTTTCTTAGTGTGTATATTTAAAAATTGCACCAGATACTTATAAGGTTAGTTTGAAAAACTGATTTTTTTTTTTTTAGATTTTACTTAATATTTAACGTTAAATAACATTTAACATTTTTCCATTCATAGTTGAAAATATCTGGGTTTTTATGTGAAGCATTTTCAAAGCAGAAGACTATTTTCTTATCCTATTTCTAAAAATAAATATTAGCAACAGAGAAAACACTTGCCACATAAGCTATGCCTACTGTAGGGACTCTACCAATTGGGCAAAGGGCACACCCACTTACTCGTAACCTGTGAATATCGAATAAATGGAAGCTAATGAATTTGTAGCCCCCTAAAGAGTATCATTTAAAAAGAAATCAAATCAAAATCAAAAGCACGTTGAGGACTTAACAGAAAAAGAAACAAAAATCCAGCTCACCTGTTTAGATGTTCGATGCTTTCGAAGTCAAAACGTATAAGATAGATTTTGAATCTCAGTATTCAGTTTTCATATGTTGTTACACCTATAGACATGTAGAGCTTAATATCTGCTGACTCATTTTGTCAGTTTCTCCGGCAAAGTAAGTCTACAACATATTCGCCACTGAACAAACAGGTTCAAGGTTCTATTTTTTTCTACATGGCTAGCTAAACATCACGATCAAACAAACTTATTATACAAGCAATGTGAATTAATGTTAAAATATAATCTCGTGAAGTAAAATCATAGTTGCTTAGTTGTTAAGACGAGACTTGTTGTAGGGTAGATAGAGACATTGTAAGAGTAATTCTGGTATCACATTGGACAAAGATATATGGAGAAGTTCATTTAAGGCTTCACTTCAACACCGTTTCTGAAGGTTATCTGTCTCTATAGAAAACGGATCGGACTACTCAAACTACCGCTGTCGCTCATAAAGTTGGAATATTTTTGTTTTACCCCAATTTGTGGAATTATTTTAAAAATAATTTAAAAATAATAGATCTAGATAATGGTATACATTCTCAGATTTTATTGAATAATAATTTGCCAATGTGTGTTTTGCGTGACTGCTAAAGCATGTGTATGCTACTATGCTTGTGCTTAGAAGAAGAAGAAGAACAGAAAACAAAACGAAACAATCAAAGAAGTTAAGTTTGTGGAAACTGTGCTATTTAGGTATGCGAAAGGATCCTCTATCAAGCCATTTCATACTGTTGACCACTGGCGTACTGGTGGGGGGGGGGGGGCTTGGGGGGGGGGGGCGCCAGCCCCCCTCCCCAAATGAAATTCAACCATGACTTATTTTCAAAATTCCATACAAGTGATTTATAAATGTTAGTAATATCACATGATTTTCAACAAAATGCGCGTTTCTCCATTTTTGTTGCAAACTGACACATTCCCAAATAGCCAGGAAGAGCATATGTTTTTTTTATAGTCACTAATGGGCCACTTACAGTAAACTATAGTAGACAATTCATTTCCAGAAGCTACTGCGACAAGCACTACCCTCCACTCGGGCTGTGCGCGAACGAACGTTCGATACGTACATCATGTAACACTGCACGTGTATCGTTAAGAGGCGCAGCTAGTGGGGAAACTGAATTCAGACAAGGATTAAAAGTATGTACAACGAACCGTCTTCTTTATCTAATAATTTAATGAAACGGCAAAGCTTCCGCGCTTGGCGCGGGAGGGGGGGGGGGCTGAATTCAGACTAGGATTTAGACGTAGAGAACGGTAAAACGAAACGGCAAAGCTTTCGCGCTTTGCGCGGGAGGGGGGGGGGAACTGAATTCAGACAAGGACACGATACAACGAGGCGTCTTCTTTCTCTAATTATTAATTTTAATGAAACGTGAAAGGGATGGGCGAAAATGAATTCAGACACGGATTAAGAGTAATAATTTCATAAAACGCCAAAGCTTCCGCGCTTCACGCGGGAGGGGGGGGGGAACTGAATTCAGACAAGGACACGATACAACGAATCGTCTTCTTTCTCTAATAATTAAATAAAACGTGAAAGCTTCCGCGCTTTGCGCGTGATGTGCGAAAATGATTTCATACAAGGATTAGAGTAATAATTAAATGATACGTCAAAGCTTCCGCGCTTTGCTCGGGAGGGGAAATCTGAATTCAGACAAGGACACGATACAACTAATAATTCAATGAAACGTGAAAGAGATGGGCGAAAATGAATTCAGACAAGGATTAAGAGTAATAATTTAATGAAACGTCAAAGCTTCCGCGCTTCACGCGGGAGGGGGGAACTGAATTCAGACAAGGACACGATACAACGAATCGTCTTCTTTCTCTATTTTGATGAAATGTGAAAGCTTTCGCGCGGGATGGGCGAAAATGAATTCAGACACGGATTAAGAGTAATAAATTATTAAATTAAGTCATAGCTTTTGTGCTTCGCGCGGGAGGGGCGAAACAAGAATTTAGAGTCGAGAACGTTACAACGGATCGTCTTCTTTCTCTAATAATTTAATGAAGTGTCAAAGCTTCTGCGCTTCGCGCGGGAGGGGGAAAACAGAAAAATTACTTAGTTCCTGGCCCGGGTTTATAGGGTTAAATTTGTAGACATTTGGATATTGGCATAAATATATTTGTCGGTAATTAATTGGTGGCTAGTTTGTTGGTAATCGGTGGCTTCTACACCCCCCCTCCCCCACTGAAAAAGGTTTGGCGATGCCCCTGATAACAACACAGTTTATACACTCAAGATAGTTCATGCAAGTACTTTTGTGTTTTTTCCGGGAAGTGCCGGTGGACAATAATGCGCCAAATGTGGTTCTCACATTGCAAAAGATCCCTACTCTAATTGGAGGGGGTAGGAGAAAGCAAGTTTACGTCATATTATTCCAGGAAGTGTCTGAAAATGCGTCTAATGTGGTTCTAAAATTGCAAATGCTTCCTCTTACTCTGGGAGGGGGTCAGAACCCCCTCTCAGACCCACCCCCGCTTGGTCGCCCCGCTCCCTCGCCGCTGAAGCCTCGCCCTGTCGCTTCATCGTTTTACATAATTTCACTCCATGCCATGATTGGCTTTACCAATTTTTTTGCCCACAAATATGCTGGAAATTGTCCAACAAGCCAGTGCGATTGATTAAGAGATTTTGGTCGACCTGATTTGATCGAGTTGGGCACAATATGGCGAATACTGCTTTGTTGGGCAGGCACATAAACAAGAAAATATACGCCACGTTTAATCATTGTATATATATATATATATATATATTTTTTTTTTTAATGATATTTTATTTCCTTCCTCATAATTTCACATAACAAGAAATTCACATAACAAGAAATTATCAAAATAAGCAATATAAAACAAGATTTTTGATACAATACACTAATGAGTTACATCGATCAATGAACATACACTGTAAAAAAATAATAGTCAAAATAACTCAATAAAATTGAGGAAAAGAATTGCCTTATTTTTATTAAGTAAATATTACCTACGGCATCTTAAGTAGAATTTACTTATTTTGCTGAATAAATTTTTACTCAGTTAAATCGAGTTACATTAACGTAAATAATTTAAGTATTGTAATCATTTTAGATAATTAAAAAAAAAAGCTATGATAGGATTACATATTGCACGATTTGGTACCCATCTAATCTAACAAGTAACATCCACTAATCACTAACACTACTTCTATTTAAGATTTAACCGTATATATATATCTACCACCATCACAAACTATTACATACGCTTCAATTCGACACATATTGAAAGGCTCCAAATTTTATATATACTTGATCGTAGCATCTTAAAAGGAAAATTGGTTGACAATTTCCTGAAATATCAAGTTTTGATTTGTTTTGAACTGGGTAACAATTAAAAATTGTCTTGTCTTTGCTTAGCCATGTTGAATTAATTAATAAATGTTTTAAAGTCCTTACATTTTCATTCAACCACAAAAAAGAATTGTTTTATTTAAAAAAGAATTTAATTTGGTCTTAATGAATATTCATAAATTATGTAAATATTTCTATTACGCACTGCATCGGTCCTTACTTTAAAAAGATAAGAATAATCAACATAAATTGTTTGAGTAATACGTATAATTTCTGATTTTGAGTTAAAATTACTAAATTAATACAAGCTGAAATTACTTAAAGTTCTTATGTATTTGATTTTACTTAAATATTCCACGTATGTTCTACTAAATTGAAAGTTTGAGTTAGCAAGACTTAAATTTAGTGCGTAAGTGGCAAAACTAATGTTTTCAAGTAAATTCTACATGGAAAAAATACGTAAAAATTACCAATGAACAAATTCTTTTTTACAGTGTAGAGGGAAAAAAAATTCTTGCATGTAACAATGTATAATCAAAATAACAGTAGAGGAAGGTTTAAAGTGTAGATTTTTTTGTTTTAAATGATATTTTATTTCCTTCCTCATAATTTCACATAACAAGAAATTCACATAACAAGAAATTATCAAGATAAGCAATATAAAACAAGATTTTTGATACAAGACATATATAGATTGCTCTTTAACTTAAAGAGCGCCCTCCCAGTTTCACATTTGCCCTCAAATTCTAAAAATGTATCGTCTGCTCTTCAAGTTTTTCGGCAGATTTTTCCATTATTCCTCAAACTAGAAAAAAGGAGTTTCAGTTTATTGCGATTTTCCGAAAGCGAGGAAGTCGACATTCGAAAAATAAATTATACTAAAATGTCGTCTATAAACATACTGTAACTTCGATCCCACAACGAACTGTGAAAAAGAAACATTCTTTTAAAAAGTAATCGGTGTCCAATCCACTTCAAGGGTTGAAATTTTGAACAATACATTTGTCCTTACAATTGCAATGTTTTAATTGTTTTAGAAGAAGAAGAAGAAGAAGAAGAAGAAGAAGAAGAAGAAGAAGAAGAAGAAGAAGAAGAAGAAGAAGAAGAAGAAGAAGACGAAGAAGACGAAGAAGAAGAAGAAGACGAAGAAGAAGAAGAAGAAGAAGAAGAAGAAGAAAAAGAAGAAAAAGAAGAAAAGAAGAACAAGAAGAAGAATGACGATCAAGGAAGTTATACCGATACCAAAATTGTGCTATTGAGGTTTAATAGCTAAAGACTCATTTTTCAAGACAGTGTTCATTCTAAAAATAATTCCAGCGTTCTATACAGTGTGAAGTCACTGTTATCTATATCGGGATCCATGCAATAATTTGTAAGGTAAATTTAGCTGATATGTACTGAAAATATACTACTTTCATCAAGTATTTCCAAAATTCCAAATAATGTTTGCAAATAAACCGGATATTCGGCCTTTACTGACTACAATTGCAAATGAATTGAACAATCTGCAATTCATTGAAACACTGCAGGATTATTCATTTATTTCGAGCTGATTCGAATTTCTAAATGACTAAATATAATTATCGAAATGAGAACCATCGATATTACTAATAAAACTACAGTTACTCATTATGATTCGAGGAAGTGATGTGGATGAACTTTTATGTTACCAATGAAACATAACATGGGAGATTTCGAAGGGTGTGTTGGAACAAAGCTGCCTCCTCCCTCCTCCTCATCCTCCTCCTCCTCTTCCTCCAACTCCCTTTCATCCACGCCTGTCTTCCTCAGTAAATTTCCAACTGCACTTACGCATACAAACAAGTAATAAAAGAGCGCCCTCCAAATTTGATTTTTTTTGACGAAAAGGTATAATTAGGTAGTGTTCCCCCCTCCCCATTTCCCCCCACCTATAGGAAAAAAAGATGAGTATCAATTTTTGCCATTGTTTAACAGCCCTATACGAACCCCAAATATTCATGGGAGGGGGTCTCGATATCACCCCTCCCCGCTAACTACGTCCCTGCTGAAAATGGCGTCACTAGTATACTGTTCTGCACTTTTGGGCATTGTATAAAAACCAACAAAGTGCACTCAATAACGTGATAATTAAGTTAGGCTCAGAAGCAAATTTCCCAATTTCCACATCAACGCGGGCCGAGAGAATGTGTTGATTGTCATAACGATATTAGCGGCTATAAAATATGGGTTAATATATTTTCACATTAATCACTGTGCGTCAAAGGAATAAAATAGAATTTGATGCAATATCTGGCAGCTATTTCCGTGTAAATAAATCCAAATATGTTATTTCGCGACAGATTCTCTGCTTCTATAATACATGTATGTCTATAATATTTATATTTGTAACAAAATTTCAACACTAACACTGGTATCGCTTAACATATTTATTATAAGATCGAAAATTCCCTGTACCATCCAAATTAAATAATCTTGAATTCGGATTATGGTGGATACAAATTTTCACAGAACCAGCAAAATTTACACTGAATGTTTTAAATTATATTATAGATGTGATATCTTACAAGCGATTTGTGTAGAAACAAGTATTATACAGAGTTGAGAAAGATAATGATATCTAGCGGGTATGATCCCGACCAGGTCCCGACCACGTCCCGATCACGTACACGAGGCATCACGTATTTGCGCCTCGTGTGCATTGGGCATGATGTAATGTACACGAGGCGTCTTTGGCTTGACGGAGGACTGCGTTAGGTACTGGCGCGATTTTTTTGTTTGTTTGTTTTTTGTTGTTGATATTTTTGCGTGCACAGACTTCATTAGCAATTTTATTAGCGCAATCGAAATTACACCTCGTGTGTAAACAGCATTAGTCTTTGTGACTCTGATTTTTTTCAGCATGAGTTCTTTGTTTTTATATTCATTTATCTATTTGTATAAGTTCATCCATGTATTAATTCATTCATCTATCTAATTAAAATCAGCTCTAAATAAGTGAAATGAGGGCGGTCTCACTGTGGTGTCTGTCCTCCCTCCTACCCTCTTCTTTCCCTTTCTCCTCCTCCCCCGCCCATTCCCCCCCCCCCCCCTCTCTCTCTCTCTCTCTCTCTCTCTCTCTCTTTCCTTCTCTCTCTAATTGTCAGCTTTCCGTATATACCTTGGCGGTCAACCTATATCATTAGCATCCCGGAGAGGGCTCATTTTTACCGCCTCCATTGGAATAAGAAAACACGTTTCTGGAATTCGAGGCATCCGTTAACAACGTGCTGCGGCTTAAAGGAACAATGCACGCTTGCTTTTCATTTGTAAAACATTGATGAATCTAATATTTTTATGTAAATGTGTAAGTATCGTTGATAACGGATTATGAGTGACTGTTTTTGTTTCTGTATTATGTTTAAAGACTCAAATATTGGTCATCATGAATGTCAACATAATATAAGGAGAGAATAATAGGCTACTTTTTTTATTCTCTTTTGTTTTTAGTATCTAAGTTTGTTTTGTTCATGCTCTTCCTTTAAAGACAAGGGCATTTCTAGCAACAACAAAAAAGAATGAAAATGTAATTCGATGTGTCGGATTTCTTGGAGAATCTTTCAATATTATTCTCATAATAACACACTTTCTTCTTTGGCCTGTTTCGATGAAAGGTGAAGAAAATATAGGCCTACTTTAAAACCAAAACATGAGAATTCAGAAGAAATATTTTCACATTATGAGGTTTGGGAATATTGAGGAAGTAATTGATTCCATATAAAATGAATACGAAAACGATATAATCTTTTTCAAGATTGTTTAAAAAGCATGGGGAAATGAATTGAAATTTAAAAGTACATAAACACATGACTAAATTTTTCAATTATTGTTTGTGATATATGATTGTAGTATGATTGAAATAAAAAGAAAATGAAAGTTGAAACTCAATAATGTAGAGTAGCATGAGGGAAATAGCGTAGTCATACACCACTTTCCCCCTTCACTTTTATTTGTCCAACGAGAGAATCCTGGATCTACGATAGAGTCCGCTTCCCATTGTTACTGTAAAAACAATTATCATAGATGAATAAATGATAAATATACGGAATCATATTCAATTGAGATTATAACCGAGTGAATATCAGAACAATGAAGTGATAGCGTAAAAGTATAGGCCTATTGAATCGCGAATATAACATCGTAGTAATAACGTTCAACTATCATAGTAATAACGGATATAAATAATGATCATCGTGTAATTAAATTCTACATGAATTTTTAGTTTTCTTTTTTAAGGAAACCCTTATTCTAACTAAATATTTTTTTGGGGAAAAGCATACCCACATTGAGCATAATCCTTCTGTCATGTAAGTATTAAAACAGAATGTAGGCATTTAACTTTAAAATGACACAGCACATTCCTTCGTCTGCACATACTTGGATTAATGATTCAATCATACAATGACATATGTTAACATGTTCCCAGGAATTATGTATGATATATAAAAAGCAATTCCTCTCTATGCTTAATGACATGGCAGCTATGCACACACAGCAGGATGCTTTTATGCACGCACGCGCGGTGTTCAACTGAGAATTGGCCGTTCATCCCGCACAAGTTCTGCTTCGTGTAAATTTATTGCTGTATTTGCACGCAGACGACACTGCGAACGGGAGCGCACATAGTGAATGGGATGACCATTTGGGAATATATAATCTGCTCCATACAATGATACATTTCGAAGGAGCGTTCTCTACTCGAGGTGTTTTATTTGAACGTGACGCTTAAACTAGAGAAACGGTAAACTGAAATCTGATTTGGAATATTTCCATGAAATAAGGAACCTGTTTGCCGTCATTTTCAATAGTTTTCATCATTTTTACTACAAAGTGAAGTGAACACATTATCAATAGCTGTAAAGCGATCTACACTGTTCAACTGGGAATTTAGTGGCGCCCGGCCAATCGAAACAGAGATGCTTGTGATTGGACCGAAGGTTAATTGTGTTACATAATTTTGCCCGAGGGAATTTCAATACGGACTTGTGACCGGCTATAGCTACCATCCATCAGCTAGTTACCTTCGAACAGCTTTTCAATCAAGTGAGTATGAATGTTAATTACTTTACTAGGCTGACATAACGGTTAACGAACGAAGGTCGGCTGTGTGTTGGCGGATCGTGTCGTTACTCATGGCGCTTTGTTTACACGAACTGATAGTGATAGCTATACTGCTCGCCTGCCCGGCCTGGCGATGCCCGTATGTGCTCTGGGCCGGGGACGAGGCATCTCTTTTCATTTTTCTTTCTTCTGTTGTCATTTCCATATCGCGCAGACAGATGACATTACAGACTGACAGCCGAGTTAAGAAAGCATAGTAATGTAAATACACCGTGTAGTCTATCGCATGCCGCTATATGAGGCCGAGGTGATGATGACAATGGGATGACTGCATGCACCGTATTTGTTGTTATCTCTATCCAGTGGAGCACTAGGCTAGATGCCTTACTTTACGTGGAGTTATTACATACTAAACCAAAATGTCTTACATGCCTAGTATATTGTTTGCATTTACATCTGTATGCAATACGTGTTTATAGGCCTTCTCCTTGATATGAATAAATAGAACTAACGATTATAAATTACATGGCTAAAATATCATCATGTATATAGATAGAGAAAAAGGTATATTGGATTGGATATACTTATATGGAAGTATACCTATAATTAACATCTGAACTGGATTTACTGACTAAATATTTTACATGTGATATAATTATAGTAACGTGATTTGTGATGCATTTGCGAATCTATTGAATGTTTTATGAACGTACATTATGATTCGAATGATACATGCTGTATATTCAAAGGGATCGCTGTAACATTGACTGACGATTTTAGACAGTAATGTTTACACTCCACACGCACATTCAACGTCATCAATCGTCAACATAAACATAATACGGATAGCATTCACCTGTTACGAATAAATGTATTTTAACTATCAGAATTCGAATTGCATACATTAGTCGTTGCTAGGTAGTAGGTAGGACAAACATTATGGCTTGCCCTACCCAACAGCACGTAATATATGCAATATGCATTCTGAAATACAATTATTCGTCAACGGGAGAATGAAATTATTCAATTCAAGGCACTTTAGTATACATTTATTACATTACGAAACTGGCCAACTCAAAGTGGTACGTTCATGTATTATGACCTCGATATAAACATACCTGATAGCGACACCTTTAGCATGTCTAAAATTGCACAAATGCCCATTTTTCAAACTTTCGTACCAGCAGTGGCTCTGTTAAAGTGATGTGAACAAAATACCTTTCATACGCATTGGACCTAATGATCCATGTCTTTATCCTCCATTATGCCACATTATGTAGGCCGTAGGCTCTATCAGTACACCTTTTATGACGTTTTCCCTTCATAACATCTCCTCTTTCCCGGCAAACACAACGGTGTTTTTTTTTTGTTAGGCATGACTTTATTGACAAAAGCTTGCGCAATTGGAGAGCAAATTCAACCAGCTATAGCATGAATAGATTCGTCTAGTTTTTCCCAGATTAATGTCGGATTATGACTGAATAGTATCAAGGTTGTCTGTATACATGTCATTGTAAAGATGTGGCGCATATTAAAGGATCATTATTTAAAGTAACCAATAGAGCGGGTAAGAGCAACCCACATAGTGGACACTTAGAGATTTTATTTCCAAAAAGTAGTTATTATATAATATTTGTTATGATCTATTCGCCCGCAAACTTGCTTGGCTTCTCCAACTATAGGGAAGGCCTATGAACAAACTGACTACATTGATCATAGTGCATAAAATGGAATGTTTTCTTTATCAGCAGGCCTACCTGTAGGGAAGTCACATGAATTAGCCGACAACATTTATAATTAATGAAATAGGGTTCATTTGTATATTTCACTCAGTCCAATAGCAGTCCCGACCCCCCCCCCCCCCCCCCCTTATGGGGTAAAGCAACGTGAAAAAGCCGACAAAACGTGTGATAATGAACCAGGCAAGACAGTGGAATGATTTATTTGATTCATAATTTTCATCAGCATTTTCATCATTAACGTGTTACAAGTCTAGTCTCCACCAAAGTGAGTCATCTCTGTACATGTTTCTACATTATTCTCATTCTTAATTGTGGTATGAAAATCGAATAGAACAACAATACAAGCCTCGAATTGAAATGAAAATCGATCGTATTCCCTTGTGTTCAAGAATTCCTCCCCTAAATTCAGGGTTTCACTACAGTGTCCACATCCAGACGTACACCTAACACCTGTCACATATAATCCGTATACAATTCGTATACTATTACACACATGAGTTACTTTTTATGATGGATTAATTGACCAGTTTCGACCCTATTCATCAACTTGAAATTCCTCTGTAATTGTAACTCTCCCCTCTGAGCATAAATATGGCATCAGTTTGCTTTAGATTGATGGCAACTCATTTCATTTCATGTCAGCAAATGCGAAGTTTATAACACGGGTCAGATTACTACGGGGGGAAAAATCACCATAGCAACCGAGTAGTCGTGCAAACACTCAATGAAATGAGGCGTGGCATGTCCGAGTGAATTGTTAATCGGGGTCTGAATTGTTTGTACATGAAGTCTGGTGGGGATGACAAACCTTATTAACCCCGACTTTATTCTGCCATGTTAGATTATTATTTTCTATGCTATGCTATATTTCGTGGGTATGTTCTGTTGTGTCTTCTTACCTCTGTCACACTGAGTCACCGAGCCGACTCCAAAACGCCGATCAATTCTTGGCCATTAACTTAGTGCAAGGTACTTTTGTGTTGGGGATGTTGTCGAATGTCGATATGCAATCAGCCTCGTCAGTGTAATTGGGGATTTAACCCTGGTATGAGCATAATAGCTAGCTCGAATATGGAGGATATTTCTAGAAAATGTATAACTGAAAGGCTTTACCAGTTGCTCTTTGGCCATTGCAATAATGAAATAAACGCATATGTGCTATTGGAGTAATGTATAGGTCCCGTCATGATAGCCTTCTTTATTGATCAACTGCTAATGTAATGCCTCAGTCACACTGACAAACAACCGACTGCACACTGACTCCAAACCGACCTATATTTTACCACTATGGTGTAATATATTTTGTATTCGATCTGATGTCGGTCCCATTAGTGTGGCTGAGTTATAATGAACGTTTCAAGCAACTAATTTACAGCACATCACAATGTCATATACCGTGAACTTAATGTACCCAAGCCTGTAATTTCATATATCCTTGCATCCTGCGGCCGTCCAATGTAAGGCTACATGTTGTCAATTTAGGAGTAATTTGGAGGCATTAATCACCTTCCTACACGTTCTCGTGTAGGGCTCGTCCGACCAATTATTGTTGAATGGTTTGTAAAATATGTTTAGTTCCGTGTAGAATATCATTGAGTACATCTCAATATTGCCATCAAACATTGACTTTGATACTGAATGTCATGATATAAATTGGAAATCGTACATGTGAAGTATGATTAGCATTAACATAAAAATAAATGAATTACATAATTCATCAAGTAATTCATTGATATCACCAGTATGTTGATACGTGAATTGAATTGAATTGAATTGAATTGAACTTAATTTGTTTCTAATCAAAGAAAAAATGACTTTATACATTGTTGTAAAAATACATTTAAATATACATACATTATATACATTGGAAAAACGAGAAACACCGAAGACATGATTAAATCTACTAAAAAGGTGCATCATAAAAGCCACAGGGGCTTGATGAATGGGCGCACCCTGAGCGCGTCACAATTATAATTAACAATAAAAAGCTCAGTCTGCTGGAGAAGAGTAAAGAATAAACGATGCATAGAACAGTATACAATGAGAAAAAGTGCTGCTTTCCAAAAATTTTAAAGGTGACTGCACTGTGACTTCAAGAGGAGTATGTATTTGGCTTCATAATCCTCCCATGTTTTATTTTCTCATCAGAGTGGTCTCTTATGGCGCCCCATGTCAAGGCATAAAATAATAAATTCAACAGAACGAACAGAAACATTGTTCCTATTTCTACCATGCTAAATACGACATAAAGTGTTCATTTTTTTTCTCCTAATACCACCACCAGGCGTAAATACTTATATAATATTATTTCTGGCGATTTAAAACATTTAAATCACATAGACGGAAGACAGAGTTTTATAAGGGTATTAATGGCTTTGTCGTCAATATGATTATGGCTCTTACATCCTGTTTGTTTTAATACATGAATAACAATATAGCCTGACAAGAACTTAAATATACATCCTTGTGTAACTCATCGTGCCATTGATGTTTTAGGAAAGTGAAACGTATAAGGAAAAACATCATAAAGCAATTCCCCAGCTTTTAAGGTTTTATCACGCAATAGCAAATAACACCCTTTGTAACGATGAATGCCGTTGTTTCTTTCTTTCTTTGATTTCCTTCTCGTCTTCCCTCTTTCATATCCATCCATGTATGTCCTTCTTTTTAGTCCGTGTTTAGGCTTGCTTGTGACATATTGGTTTATTCCAGGCTTCCCAGTGTGTTATTCATTTGCATTTTCTATATCAAAATTCAAAACATTTGATTTGGCGTAAAATGATCATTGTGTGTCTGTTTACGTCTGGGTTTGAATGGAGAAAGAAGAACAGAGAGAGAGAGAGAGAGAAATAAAGGGGTTGGGTTTGGGGTATAGATATAGGATAGCAATCCTAATGTTCACAATAATGTTTCGTATGCTGATGTAACAACTACAGGAAATAAACGACATGCTATAGTTAATAACTCCACTGATTATTGTCCAAACTTTGAACCTAGAAGGGATTTGAAAAAAGAAAAAATATATAAATTTATGAATCAATCTAAGATACTATTGTATGGTAATGCTGCATGCGAGATTAGGCCATGAAACCAAAATGTTCTCTTTATTTTCACATGACACCACTATCCGAAGGATTGAGAACCCTGAAAAGTACTGCGAACTCTGAGAAGAGCTTTCATGATCTATGTTTCGATCAGCTGATTGTCGTCAAAAGTAGTGTATGGGACCGGGGTCAAAGG